TTTGCCCATATACCGCCGAAGCGATACATTGGGACTTTTGCCCATATACCGCCGAAGCGATACATTGGGACTTTTGCCCATATACCGCCGAAGCGATACATTGGGACTTTTGCCCATATACCGCCGAAGCGATACATTGGGACTTTTGCCCATATACCGCCGAAGCGATACATTGGGACTTTTGCCCATATACCGCCGAAGCGATACATTGGGACTTTTGCCCATATACCGCCGAAGCGATACATTGGGACTTTTGTTGTTGCTGCTGCTGTTGAAGTTGTTTGTTGTTGTTGCTGCTGCTGCTGAAGAACTGGAAAAAATTGGATACGTTTTTCAAGAATTGAAAAAAGCAAGTCTTGTCCGCAACTCAATACTACCCTCCCCCCTAGAAAGGTTAATTCCAAAAAAGGAAAAGCCACGCATTCTGCTGTAGAACATCTTTGCTAAAGATGGCAACGAATTCCATCGTACTAAAATTAAAACATTTGAGAATGGAAACGAATAAAATTTTAAACCTTCTGTTGGAACCATTTGACGGATTCCTACTTGGTAACGCGGTGAGAAGATCCAATACGTCCAATAGCACGACGGCGTTTAGCAACACGAGTTCCAGCACGTCCCAAGACAACGTAGAAATCCATCCCGTAGATTCCAATTGATGGATCGTATTTTATGCCCAAGTCGATATGTTCCTGGATTCCAAACCCAAAGTTGCCAGTGTCCGAAAAATTTTCTCTATAAAGTTCAAATTCCTTGACCTAAAACTTTTTTTCGGTTATAAAAGCAAAGAAATTGTTAAATAACCTTCAAACCACGATCAATAATCTCCTCAGCTTTTGAGCCACGAACCGTGCAGTGAACAGCGATCTTTTCGTTTCGACGAATGCCAAAAGCTCGAACGGTATAACGGGCCTTGGAAAGAACGGGTGTTTGTCCAGTCAATTGCTCAAGAACCTAAACGAAAAGTAAAAACTTCGTAAGGAAAACTTTAAAAAACCTTAGCTGCACGAGTAAGTCTACCTCCCGACTCGCCAACACAAATGTTTAAGCAAAGTTTTTGAATTTTCAATCCACGCATGGTCTTCTTGCGATTTTCGACAATTTGCTCAGCTTTAGTCATTGCAACAATAAATATTAGTCTGATCTGAAATGTGAAATTGAAGCACGTCGAAATTAAGAAACAGATCGCAATGAAAAACAAATTTATTTTGAGAAAGAGGACAAAAGAGGAAACTTAAAAGGAATCGGAAAAAGAACTATGTATACCAAAAATAAAATAAAAAAAGGCGAAGAAGCTGATAAAAATAATCGCCGTTTTTGTCACAGAGAATACGCTAACTAATCTCTATGTTTTCCAAACTCTTTCTGCTTTATTGATTTTTGTCAAAGGCATGCTAAAACATGAGTGGTTAGAGAAAAGCATTTACTCTACACTGTCATTGGAAAATTTTTTTTTTCTCTAACCAGTACATAATTTTGCTTGTCTGAGTAATGGCCGCCAAAAATAATCAATAACAGCAGAAAGAGTGTTGAAAATAAAGAGTCGTTAGTATAGAGAGTTTTGGTCAGTTCAGTGCAGCGCGCCAAAATATTTTTTAAATTACATAACACAAGGGATACTTTTACACTGATTTTTTCAAGGGATTTATAGACTTATTATCAAATTTTACAAATTTAAAACAAAAAATATTTAAAAATTAAATTATTTTAAGTTGTTTTATTTTTTATATTGTTCTTTTATCCAATTTTTTTGTTTGTCTTTAAATTAGTGCCAGCCAAGGTCATTTTATTGTTGGCTATTTTCTCTTTTATACTTCTTAAACTCCAAATTGCGCCCCGATCGTCTTTCGCCAATTTTTCTTCTTTTTAGCCGCCGGCTGGTAGATTACTCTTATTTTTTCCTTATTATTCAATCCCCTTTTATGCGCGTAATTGAAAGTCCCGTCGCGACTCTTGGATGGCCTTCAACGAAGAAAAAATAATAAGAAAAGCCATTTTCTTCCGTCTTGCGCAATTTTCAACCTTCGCCTTCAACTGCTTCTTCGTATCAGATCGTTCCCGGCCGCACCAACCCGTCGGCAATTTTGAGGAGGAAGTTTTTAAAGGCGGATAGGAGAAAAATCAAGTGAAAATAAAAACACTTTTAATTTAGACAGTCTTATTCAGCTGAAAAGGAGTTTTTTAGAGGCCCACGCATTTTACCTCCAACAATTTATAAGTTGCGCGAAAAATAAAGTAACTAAAAAAGAAATAATAAAAGTTTTGTTAGAGTGGCCTTTACAAGCCGGGAATTTTTTTTATTAGTAAAAAAAGCGGGGCGGTCTTGTAGTGACGGTCATCTTTAATATTTTTTTTATTTGTTAAGGAAGGTAAAATTCCATTTAAGGGCCGGAATGTTGAATTTTATTTTCATTTTCCACACATTTCTAAAAATATTTTCATGAATCCTTTGCTCTATTCCCTTTTAAAAAATTACCAACAAGAGCAATTACTCTTAAATTCCTTTAGAAACGAAAACTCAACCCTATTTCCTTTATTTACACCTCCAAATCAAAGCCCCCCGTCTCCAGAATTATCTCTACTTGCATTTCTTGGTTCACCAATATTTGGCAATCATTTGTTACCTTTATGTTCATTGCCTGATTTTAATAAAAATTTAATTGAAACTTCAATTTCTAATAATTTTGTTGATTCAATTTCAAACTCGTCTTCAATTAATGAATCAGAAACAAATTCAGAATCAACCTCCTCCTCTTCTTCTGAAGCAAGAACAAAAGAAAATGAAAGGGAATATTTTAAAGAATACAAAATTGGCACAAAAGTTGTTCGTAGACTTTCTTATCCGCGTGAATTTAAGTTGATTGTTTTACATAGTTATTGGACTAATGGCAAAAATAAATATAGAACATGCAAAGAATTTCATATAACAAAGTTTTCTTATAACAAAGTTTTCTCTTCAAAACCTAATTAAAATTTAAAGATCAATGTTAAATGGTTGGCTTCAAAAAGCTGAAAAAATTAGAAATTCTCGTCCAGGGTCTCTAAAAAGTGGACGTTCTGGAAGAAAGTTTGTGGCCCTTCAAAAATGAGAATATTTTTTAAATTTTCAGACCTCAATTTCCAAAAATTGAAAATCAATTATTTCAACTTTTTCAAGCTGAAGAGAATAAAGGAGAAAATGTTTCGAATAAATGGATACGTGAAACAGCGAGAATTTTGGCTGAAAAAGAAGAAAATAATTGCCAATTTTCAGAGAGATGGTTAAACAATTTTAAAAGAAGATTTCAAATAGGGATTACGATTAAAGATGAAAATGAACAATTTGAAGAATCTCAAATAAATTCAATTAAAGATGATTGGTCTATTGAAAATGACCAGAAAATGAATAAAATAAATAATGAATCGAATAATTTAAAAGATGAAGAATTGGACAGGTTAGTGAGAGAAGGGTCTATCCCGGAAGGTGTGGGCGGATAAAGGGAACTTAAAATCACCAATATGCTGGCCTGCTCCCTACGAGAGTAAGACACAAATCCGTCTTAATCTGCTAAGATCACTCTTTATCCGCCCCTATTTGGATTTGACCTTCTGGATTTATACTAGAGAAATATTTTTAAAAATAATAATTTTTATTTTTAGAATTGCCCATGAAATTTGTTCAATAAATGGCCAACTTCCAATTAAAGTATTTTATGAAAAATTCCATCGGATTGGGCAGAATGTTCAATTAATTTAATGAAAAAAGGAAAAAAAATTAAAGCAGGCTTTAATAAAATTTATAAAATAAATTAATTTCCTCCTTTTTTTAAAATTAAATACTTCTTAACCATTCCAGAAAAATGTAAATATTTAAAAATAATTTTTAATTTTCAAAAATTTAATTTCAAAAAGCTACACACAATTTAATCAATTTTCCCCTTTTCTTTATTTTCCACCCCAAAATCTAAACAAAAAGCACAAAACTTTTCATTCTTGAATTTTCCTCGAGAACACCTTTAAATATATTTTTTAATGTAAATATTAACATTTTTTTACTTTTCCTCATTTTCTCGTCAAAATTTTCTTTTTTTAACCAATAAAATATTTTTTTGTGTTTGTTTATAACACTTTTCTCTGATTTTAAGGTGTGGCAATAATAAAACTATTTACGTGTTTTTCTTGGATTGAAAAAAAAGAATAAAACAAAAAAGAGTAAATAAAAATAGAATTGTCTTCTTTCAAAAAATATTTGCGCTTCTTTAACTTTCTCTTTTTTTGTTTAATTACTCTTGACTCTTATTAGAGAGACTAACACTTTCTATAATGTAAACAAATATAAAGACTGTGATTAAGTTTATTTTTTACAATTTATTTTAATAAAATACTGAAGTTCATCCCTGACCTAGCCTCAACGTCAAGCAACTCTGCTGTACTGCTTTATAGGGGTGTTATATAGGCTGAAGACTTACACCTTTTAAAAGGGAATGTTGAGGGATTTAGATGGATTAAGGAGGATAAGTAACCAGCTCTATGGAGATAATTACCCAGATCTGTATTCTAGAACCTATGGTCCAGTATTGTGAGTGTGTACCATAACTCTGGATGAGAAATAGGCATTTAAGATTTAAGTCTTAGTCCCCAAATACTGCTGCCGAAAAATAACAATCTTTGAGCATTTACGTGAATTCCTCTTTCTCCTCCACCTCTCGAAAAAATCATCAACTTCCTCATTTTACTCTTTTATCTAACTTATCTATTTTTTATGGCCATATGACTGCCTAAAAATAACAACAATTTTCTAGTAAACAAAAAAAAGAGAAAATAAAATTTCGCGCAGGTCTAAAAGGCATTTTTCACTGACTGGTTGATCAGATTATTTTTTGGAACTTTCCCTCATTTTACCCCTTTTTTTATTGACAGAACAAGTTTTTCTCTCCTTTTTTCCTTTACTTTTTTTAATTTTTGTCCCCAAAAATAATCAATTTGGCCATTTTAGAAATCATTTTTGAATATTTAAAAAACTAAATCTTTAAAAATAAAAATGTGGTGGGGAAGTGGTTATTACGGTGATGGTTATGGCTATGGATATTATGGATCCCAGGTTGGAGATTTTCCACTTTATTTAATTAAAATCCTTTGCCCTTTTTCAAATTTTGTTTGGCTGATTGATGCTTTTCTTTTTTCCAGTTTCCTCCCTCAATGGTATGGACAAAGAAAATTTTTAAATTTAAAATTCAACTCTTAATATTTAATTTTATAGTAGGTTAAGATAGGGTAATATTTCTTAGATAATTCTTTGCCTTGCTATAAATTTTTTAAAATAATAAATAGAAGTTAGGAGTAAAGCGGATCTGAGGGCTATAACTATTTCTCACTAGGCTGGTGCAAAGGGATAATTGGCAGCTGGCAGTGAACCAGCATCTTCAGTTGACCGGACTGATATTTGCTGCTTGTGATTACACCACGCCGCCTCCTGTTTAGCTTTAGGAAATACTTATAAATAGCTATCTGCTTTATATAGATTAGGGCAAAGAGATTTCTTTTAATAAAAATTTTTGTTAAAAAAACATTCACCTTTTTATTCAGATTGTTCTGGTCATTGTTGTTTTAATCGTTGGGTGTTTATTTCTTTGTTGCATGCTTGGTGTTTTTTGGTATCTTTATTCGGTTAGTCCCGTGTTGTTTATTTAAAATTAAAAAACTTGTTTTTAAGCAGAAAAGGAATGAAAGGACAGAATCTTCAAACGTTCAATATTATCCTTATTATGTTCCCCCAGCTACAAGAATTGGAAAGGATGGAGAATTGGGAACACAATTTAGATAATTTTTATTATTCACAATTTTTTGTGAAGGATTATAAATCCTAGTCTCGAATTTTCCAAAAAACCTCTCTTAAAATACCGAAAATATTTTATTTTTCCAAAAATCATCTTACAAATTTCACTTAAATTTTTTAAAATAAAATTTTTTTAATAAAAATGTTTTTATTTTTAAAATAAAAGCGGGTAAAGCTTTTTTTAAGGCCAATCTTCCTCTAAATATCTTTTTTTTCAACTAAGGGGCATTTAAAACATTCAAACTATTTCTTTTCTTCTAGTATTTATTTAGTCAAACGTTTTATTGCTTCTCTTTCACCAACTGGCCCTAACTTAAAATCGTATTTATAGCCAAAAGGCATAAATGATACTACGTGGAGAGGATTAAAGAAAAGTAAAAAATATATTTAGTAGAGGAAGACTATGACTATTTTTCCTTTGAAAAAATTTCATTTAAAATGCGCCCATTTCCGTTTCTTTATATTTTTAAATTTTACCAATTTTTCCAATTAATTGATTGCCTTGGACACAAAGATTGGACAAATTCAGCATATCCAGATATTAGAGGGCCAACATTTCAGGCAAAAATATCCAAATTGTAAAAAAATTATTTTAAATCCAGCAATGTGCAAATAAGCCACCTGAAGATAAACCTTTATTTGTTTGTGATCCGGATAAAATATTTAATTCAACACAATGTAAATTAATCCAAATTTGATTAAATATTCCAATCATTTGTTTAGTAATAAGAATAAATGATGAACTTGCCAAAGTAGCCATTGGAACCCCTTGTCCATGTCAAAGGCGTTCTCAGTGTTCAAGTATGCGAGTAATACAATAAAATAATCTAACGAAAATTATTTTCAAAGGTGGCTATAGCACAAGTAGTGGAAGTACATTTCATGGTTTTATTGTGTAAGATTGAATGAAGAATCAACATTCTAATATCCCCCCTTTCTCTAGTTCAATAGCATTAGTTGATAATCTTCAAATGAATTTTCATTCACCATCAGAACAACAATTGACAGATAGAGCTGAGAGTTTTTGTAAAGCATTAGAAGGACGTTGGGCTCTCGGGGATTGTGGAAATTCTGTTATAGTTTTTGTTTGGAGACATTATAAAAAGTTTAAAAAATTGAAAAATTAGTTTAAAAATATTTTAGATTAATTATTTGGCCTGCAAGATTAGCAGAACGTTATATAACAGTAAGCTGTGTAGCTTCTATTTTTTAATTTTGAAAGAATATAAATAAATTTAGCACGGTGAACGTAAAGCAATTCTTGCTCGAGTAAATGATTTAGTCCAAAATGGTAAATTTTTAATGTGAATTTAGTTTCTAAAAATAAAATAGATCGTTGGAGCGATGCCATTGCTCAAGTCATTGGTATGAAATAAGAAAAAAATAATTCGAAGGAATTTAGCTGAAATGTATGAACAATTGAGAGGTGAACCTGAATCTCGAGTGGACACGGGTATCCACTTTCTTGTGTTTTTGAGATATTCCTGGATGACGCCATGTATTTACTTTTTTTATTTCTAAAGGAACTCTCTCTCTAATAATCGCTGTTGGTGTAGCTAGTCTGATTACTTCACTAATTACAGGTCTTTTGGAGACCACTTCTTAAAAAACTATTTGTAGGATGTGTTTGTGCATTTCGTTGTTGCGGGAATTTATCTCCTGACGAAAAATCTGGAAGTGTACTAGTTGATTCTTCCGCTAGTTTTAGTCTAGTTAATAATTCTGAAAAAAACATTATCTATTAAAATTTTTAGCCCCCAATGAATTGTCAATTGCCAATCACATCAACAACATTACATTCCTCTCATCAACAAATTTCCAGAATGCCTTCATCTCCTTCAGCTATTCGAAGATCTCCTACTCCTCCTCCCCAACCTTCTCAACTTAGTTATATGGCCTTTTCTGATACTACAATTGTTTAAAGAAAGAAAATGAGATAAAATATTAAGCCTTAAAATTAATAAAAAACATTTATTGTAAAATTATTTTTAAATTTACGTCCATTCTTAACCATTATGGTGGCTTCTTCGCATATGACTGTCATGTGCAGCATGAGAAGCAAAACTTTTGCCGCAAACTGTGCACTGATAAAAGAGTGGTTATTAATATACGTACTAAAACTTTTCACACCTTAAATGGTTTTTCGCCACTGTGTTGACGTACTGTGATTATAAAATATATCAAGGGTATTAAAAATGAAAATACTGTGAGTTCGTAGAATCGAACTAGCAGTGAATGCCTTTTCACAATGAGGACATTTATAGGGGCGTTCTCCAGAATGAGTGCGCATATGCTTTAACAAGAAGTTAAAGCTTAAAAAAGTAAAATTCATGCCTTGCTTAAACTGCTTGACTGGGAAAATGCTTTGTTGCAAATCTGGCAAACATGTGGTCGGCGACGCTCATGGACATGAAGAATGTGAATGCGCAAACGATCACGCTTCTCAAAGGATCTAAACAGAAAAATATTTATAAGCTTGTATTACTTGACCTTAAACAATGTGGACATGGAAAGCGACGCTGGCCATTATCAACGCAAGGAGTGAACTTCAAATGTTTATCTCTAAAAGAATCTCTATCTTTGAAATAATTTATGACATAATTTAAGAAGCTTACCTATAATAAGCATAACTAAATAATTTCCCACAGCGATGACAAGCATATCCACGATTTGATTCAACAGCGCCACTGCTGCAAGCTTCACTAGCTTTGATTTGTGCATCCTCGTCGCTTGTTGGTTCAAAACTTGCTGAAAAGCAAATTTAATAATTGTCACTTTTTTTTAAAACCTTTAGGCCTTTCTTTCTTTTGTTGTGATAACATTGAAATTTTATTAAGTTCCTTTATAATTTCTCCATTCTTAGAACTCTCACTGGAATTAACCGAATTCGACTTGTGGAGGTTCATTAATGATCCTGCAAGGCCTAATAACATTTTAATCTCGTAATTCTTTTTGAATTTACCTCTATTTTGTCCAGCATTCTTTATATTTTCATCTTCTGAAGAACTTATTATTGACTCAATGCTCAGTTTACTTATCAGCTTTTTCTCTTTTTCTGGGATAGTGATCGGGCGAAATCGGATGAAAGGAAGAGGAGGTAAAAATAAATTCATTTGTGGCACCAAAGACCTTTGAAGAACAAACGGACGAAAGAAAATAGATTGATAAGGATAAGGAAAATGAGGATGAGGAAGAAATAATTGGGGTGATTGCAATCTCGGGAAAATGCTTGAAATATTAGAACTCTGCATTAGATTGTCCTTGTTTTGATTTTGCATTTCTAATTGTGATTGATGGATTTAGTTAAAAATTGAAATCCTAAAAGTCATGAAAGGTATATGAATTAATACATAGTAAATAAACGGATATAAATAGAGGTGTCTCAATAACAGCAAATCCTTAAGGGTCTTGAGCTAAAGAGGTGTTGTTGTGCAAAGTCTCTTGCCGTAATAAGAGCTCTCTAAGCAAAGTTATTAAACAGTAAATATTTGAAGTAGGTGACTGACAGATCACGGCATGTTAATATTCACTTAGTATTGAGTTATTTGACCCTTGAAAGTGTCAAGTACTCGGCGACCGGTTGTAGGTAAAAAAGAGAAAAATAAAGTTATAAAATTTAGTAGTTTTCTCAAAATAAACTCAAGTCGAGAAAGGAATAAATATTGAGGACAATAAAGAGTAGACCAATTCAAAAGTTTATTTTGCATATATTACTTATACATACCAATAATAAGCCTAATTCTTTCAAATTACCATTAAAAATGGTTGGAACAAATAGCGGATGCCGTAATTTTTGGCATAACAATTCCCTTGATATAGCAGTCAAAAAATAATAACGGTAGTAGAGAATGCACACAATGCCTATCTGGCCACCCTCCCTCCCTAGCCCCTATATAATCCACTTATCCAACCACAATATTGGGAAAAAGCGCGTTTTAAAGTAAATTAATTTACATAGATAGACTCTTAACATTGTGCGAAAACATTTTGGATATTTGTTTGGAAATAATATTTAAATAAATTCCTAAGAGGGTGGATTATTCAAGGAATAGTAGAAAGCTGCAAATGTTTTTATCCATGCTTAATAATAATTTTTCTTCTAAAAATCACATAGTATAATTATATAAAAATTAAACGTTTTAATAAAAATTCCGATTTCAGAAGTTATACACAGAAATTTTTAAGTCTAAAAAATATACAAAAAAATGCTTACCTATTTATTAGATAAAGTACTAGAAAGCTAATAAGTATATGAAAACATTCTTGTATAAAAATATAAGACTGGAATCGGAAATTATAACAATAAAAAATATAGAACCAAAAAGATATATTCCTATATTATTATGAAAAATACAACATTTATGTATTAAAAAAAGAAATGGCAGAAGAAAAATGCGAGAAAAAAGATAAAAATATACAAAATCTGAAAGTTAAAAAGTCTAAAAAATGTTAAAATAATAAATATCAGGAGTTTGTTAAAATAACAAAAAGATATCCTGCCCCAAGAAAATCAACTTTCCTTAAAATATCGGGAGCATTTTTTGATAATAATGACCTGCTTAGGTCACTAGGAGGAAATATATGAGCAACACAACCTTGAGGGTGATGCTACAAAAATAATTTGGAAAATTAAAAAGAAATTTTATTAAAAAAGCTTACCGAGCTAACAATTCCTGCAGCACTTTTGGAACTATAATATTCAATAAAGGAAGTTGCCATTTTCTCCGTTTGTATAGAAACATCATTTCGATCACGCCCACAAGGTAAACAAATTAAGGCAACATGGTTCTCTTAAAAAATAATTTTAAAAAAGCAAAAATCGAATTAAATAAAAACCTTCTTTCTCCATTTTACGCATTAAATTATCCAATTGAGATTGTTCTAATCGCATCCTTTGTGTTACCCTGAGCAAAGGAATGCCTTGCTCATTTAGGGTGACTAACTCGCGATTCATCCTTTCTATAAGTTGTTCATTTCCACAAACCTAAAAAACATTTAAACATTCAGAAATTTATTAAGAAAACCTTATGCATTTGAACAAGCGTGTCAGCATTTTTCATAGCTAACTGTCCTTGCCAAATAATTGGGTAACCACCTTGCGTCTATAAAACAAACATTCTTAAAAAATTTTTAAATCGGGACATACACTCTGCTGTCTCTGAACAATTTTCTGCTGATTTGCTTGTGAGATTTGAGGTGGTTGAAAGGCGGCTTGTGGCTGTTGGACACTTTGAGTTGGATGTATTGCTGGAAGCTTTTGGACATTCTGAGAGGGATTAACGGCAGGAAACTGTTGGACATTCTGAGGTGGATGAACGGGTGGAAGCTGTTGGACACTTTGTATTCTCTGTTCATTAATGTTGACTAATTCGCGATTCATTCTTTCTATAAGCTGTTCATTTCCGCAAACCTAAAAACATTTTAAATACTCATTATATATTTATTTTAAAAAACCTTATGTATTTGAGCAAGTGTGTCAGTATTTTTTATAGGTAACTGTCCTTGCCAACTAATTGGATAATCACTCTGGGTCTAGAAAAAAATATTTAAGCATTCTTAATTAAACAAAGAACATACAGTATGTTGTCTCTGATTTTGTTGATTTGTTTGAGAGATTTGAGGTGGATGAATTGCTTGAGGCTGTTGAACACTTTGAAGTGGATGAACGGCTGAAAATTGTTGGAAATTTTGTATTTGTTGTTCATTAAGGTTGAATAGGTCGCGATTCATTCTTTCCCTAAGTTGATCATTTCCGCAAACCTAAAAACATTTTCAAATAAAAACGTTTATTAGTAAAACCTTTTGCATTTGAACAAGCGCATCAGCATTTTTAATGTCCAACTGTCCAGGCCAAATAATCGGATAATTGCCCTGAATCTAGAAAATATTAAGTATTTTTAATTGAAAATAATGAAGGATCATACATTCTGTTGTTGTTTCTGATTTTGTTGATTTGTTTGTGATGTTTGTGGATGAACAACTGGAAGCTGTTGAACACTTTGAGGTTGATGAATCGTCGGAAGTTGTTGGAAACTTCGCATTTGCTGTTCATTAAGAGTGGCTAGTTCGCGATTCATTCTTTCCATAAGCTGTTCGTTTCCGAAATCCTAAAAACATTTACACATTTGAATGTTTATTAACAAAACCTTAGGCATTTGAACAAATGAGTTAGCATTCTTCGTAGATAACTGCACTTGAGATAACTGTCCTTGCCAAGTAATTGGATTCTGTTGTATCTGTACTATTTTTTGCGGCTGTGTTTGTGATACTTGAGGTGGAAGAACGGTCGGTGGTTGTTGGGAACTTTGAGGTGTATGAACGGCGGGAAGCTGTTGGGTATTTTGCACTTTCTGTTCATTAAAGGTAAGCAGCTCGCGATTAATTCTTTCCATGAGCTGTTGATCACCAAAACCCTAAAGACATTCATATAAGTATTTGAATATTAGCAACAAAACCTTTTGCATTTGAACAAGCATTTTATCATCAGGTTTGTTAATTGATTGTCCTTGCCAATAATCAGCTTGGGTCTTAAAATATAGATATTTTTAAATAAAAAATAATGAAAAGACATACACTCTGTTGTTCCAGAACCATATTTTGTTGCTGTGGTTGTGATACTTGAGGTGGATGAACAGCGGGAAGTTGTTGGACAATTGGTATTCGTTGAGGAGGAATATTGCTTTGTTGTTGTTCATGATAATTTATGATAGTCGGTTCTTGAAATTCAGCACTAAGTTTAGCAGAATTATTAATGTTTGCAATAGCACCAAATTTTTCATGTTCAACAGAATTTCCGTATTGTTGAGCTGCGACTATATCAGAAGATTTTTGCTCTTGTTGAATAGAAGAAAATTGTTTGTCGTAAACAACACTCTGCAAAGTTTGATTTGAATGAGAGTCCAATGATTTTTTCTCGTTTTCTTGTTGTCTTTTCAATTCTTTAGCATCAATTTCAACAAAACCGGTGGCTATAACGACCACATGTGATTCACTCGTCTAAAAAATTACAGATAATTTAACAATAAATACTATTAGAATTTAAAGAGACCTTTTCTTTGCTTTCAATGATTAATCCAGAAGTATTGTGTGGAGTAAATGAAGAAAGTTTTGAATCTGAAGCGCAAACCTTATCAGAATTTTTCAATTGTGATTCTTCTCTACTTTCATTTTGAGCTTTTGGAATGTCTTCTTTTTCATCAGATTTTTGTTGAGAAGATAGATTGGGTCTTTGAATGTTTTCGAAAGATTCGCTCTCTAAATGTTCACTCTTCCTTTCATTAACCTTCTTTTCAGTAAAAACATCATTTTTAGGTAATTTATCACATTCATCATTCAATTTAGTAAAATTGTTAATATTTGCAATAGCATCTAGTTCTTCCTGATCAGCAGAATTATCGTGTTGCTTCTCCGAATATTCAAATGTTTCAAATATATCAGAAGACTTTTGTTCTGGTTGTGTAGAAGAATGTTGCTTGTCGCCTACAACATGCTTTGAAGTCTGATTTGTTTCTTGCTTTTCAGTTTCTTGTTGTCTCTTTAACTCTTTAGCATCGATTTCAACAAAGCCAGTGGCGATAACGACCGATTGTGATCCACTCTTCTAAAAATAAAAAATCAAACAAAAAATTAAAAATTTAATTCAACCTTTTCTTTGTTCTCGATTATCAACCCAGAAGCACCATGTGGAGTGAATGGAGTAAGTTTCGAATCTGAAACACAAGCCTTATTTGAATTTTTAAGTTGTGGTTCTTTATTTTCATTTGGTGGCTTTTGAATGTCCAATTTATCAAATTTCTTTTGAGTAGATATGCCGAAAGATTTGTCCTCCGAAGGTTTTCTTTTCCTTTCGTTAACTTTCTTTTCTCCAAAAACAAAGTCATTTTTAGATAACTTGTCATATTCATCGTTCGGTTTAGCAGAAATGTTAATGCTGGCAATAGCATCGAGTTCTTCTTGATCAGCACTTTCACTAGGGAAATCACAAATTTCAGGCGTTATTTTCTGAGGTTGCTGTTCAATTGGTTGGACTTTATCAGAATCTTCTTTTTTGTCTTTGTCGCAAATTTGAGTGGTTGGATTCTGATCTGAGAGCGAAGTTTTGTCACCCTGTTGTTCTTTTAATACTTTCGATGATTCAATTTCAACAAAACCACCAGCTATAACGACCATGTTCGATTCACTTGGCTAAAAAAATAAAAAAAAAATTAACCTTTCCAAATTGAATTTTAAAACCTTTTCTTTGCTCTCAATTATTTGTTCATTCAAATTTGATGTCTGATTTTGCAATTTTGATGGATGACTTTCATTTGATGTCTTTTTAATTTCTTCTTTTTTATCGAATTTCTTCTTTGCAGATATTGAGGATTCTATTTCTAATGGTTTTCTTTTTCTGTCAATAACCTTCTTTTCTACAGCAATAGATTCATTTTTATTTAATTTAGCAGATTCTTTTTTGAATAAAATAGGCTTATGTTTAATATTTGCAACAACACTGGTCTTTCCAACATCTGGTTTTTTCTTGATTTCGGCTTCCGCATTGCTATGCTTTTGAACTTTTTCAGTCTTTGAGTGTAGGACAACAGGTTGTTGTTGTTTTACAATTGGTTTTTCTTTTTCGAGTTCTTCCTGACTGTCAGAATCTTCGCCGAATACATCAACCATCGAGATTTTGGCAATTTTCTTCTAATTATAATTAAATAAAATTTATTTAAAATAAAAATATACCGGCACATGCTTTTTAAATATTGGAAAGCCCTTAGGAGGTAAACGCGCTTCATCATCAGAAGTGTCAGAACCACTGGTACTTGAAACAGAAGAGGTAGAAGAAGATGAACAAGAGTCTGCACCAATCTTTTTTGTAATCACCTGCTGCTGACCTTCTTTGGCTATTTCAATTAAGGAAGTCAATTTCTAAAAGATTTTAATATTAGAAGTTATTTTTAAATAATTACCTGATCCAAATCATCTTTGTGTCCATCCACAGAACGAGGTGAACTAGAACGATGTTTAATAAATTCTGCTTGCAACTAAATGACGGACATTTTTAAAATTAATTTCAGAACTAAAAACCTTTTGAACAATTTTATCTCCAATTCTTCCAGGCTCTTCATTATCAGTTTTTTCATCAGCGCTAACACTTACACTCCATTCATCACTCGAAGAGGATTCTTTAGATTCAAAAGCACCTTCCTTTTCAATTCTTTCCATCATTGATGGTTTTTTTGGAGCAATTTGTGGCCTTCTTATTAGAGAGGGAACAACCTCATTCTTTTGAGAATTAATTTTATTAGAATCTTGTAGTTTGTTTATAACAGGTTCGATTGAATCTTGTCGTTCAACATCTACTAATTCTTCATTTTCCTCAACTTCTGAATGATCGTGATTCTCTTCCATTTCCTTTTTGATTTCTTGAATATTTTGAAGAGCCGGAGAAGATTGTTTATCATCTTCTTTTTTACTTTCATCAGAATCGGATGATGAACTACTAAGGCAAACACGATTTAATTCTTTTTTCTTTAATTAAAAAATCAAATTTGAATGAAAATTTAATTAAACCTTTTTAGTCTTTTTTTCACGCAATTGTTCCAAAGCCTGTGATTTCTTTCTTTCTTCATCAGGTCGTTGAGACGATCTTCGTTTTACACGATCATACATTGACATTCCAAAATTAGCGCCTGATTTTATTGCCGCAAGCATTCTTTTCTGTTCCTCCAAGTCAATATCCCAAAGAACTCCAGAAGCAGCAGTATCGCTTTCTCCCTCACTATCAGAACTTCCAGAAGACGATCCATGTTTTTGCATTTGATGGAGCCTTTTCTTTCTTCGCAAATGCTTCCCGTCTGTAACTGAATCAATTTCAGACGTCCCCTTCTTTTTAGAAATCGATTTTAACTGATCCTGAATTTATTTAAATAAACAAATATTAAAACGTTTAAAAATTTTCTTACTTTACTACCAACAGAGAATGCCTTTGTCTTCCTTATTTCGTCAGAATCTTTATATTTTTCATCTTTTGACAAGCTTATTTTCTTCGGGATTAAACTAGCGGATGAAGTTGACGGCATTTTGGCAAGAGAATGTTGTTTGACTTTTAAATCTTTAGGCTGATCCTTCTCACAAAATTTATATTTTAATTTCTTTTCACAAGTATCTGATAATGTTGGAGTCGTTAGAGTTGGCGTTGTTATTAATTTTTTCGGCTCGGTTTTCTAAATTAAAAATTCATAAATATGAAAAATTAAAAAGATATTTTAAACCAATTTTGGAGTTATATTTAACGGTTTATTCAATTGTTGTTGTTGTTGTTGCATATTCTGAATTGGTAAAGGCGCTACTGAAGGCTTTTTGAGAATTATTGATGACTTTTTTAAAGGTTGAGGAGAGCTGTTGTTATCATTTTCGTCTTTTTCAATTTTTGGAAGTGAGGTAGCTTCATTAGATTTTTGTTGAGTGTTGTTAAGTCTTGCTGATTGAACATCAAAATCAGGAACAGATTCAATTTGTTTTACAAAAGGAGATGAACATTCTTCTATTGAATGAGTAATGCTTGTAGAAGAGGATGCGCGCTGTCTAATAATAGGAGCTAAACAACTTTTTTGTTGTATTTGTTGTTTTTGTGTGCAAACAGCAACAGGTTCAGTCACTGATTTAGCTGGTAATGTATTTCTAAAATTTGTAACTATTAGAATACTCCAAACAAATTAAAAAATAAACCTTCTTTCCTGTAAGTCAATGCTAGTCGAAGCAGAATCTTCACGAGACAGGTTGGCCAAATGAGGTAACCTATTTTGGTGATCATTTGTCTTATCTTTCGTCCCTTCTAATTGTAAGTTATGACTTGTACAAGCTTCATTATCTACATGTTGATGTAAACAGTCTCCAGTCACGTTAGAAACGAAAGATAGACTTGAAGAAATGGAAAACACATCTAAAAATTGTTTCATCTCTTGTTCCATTTTTTGAATATTCACCTCCCTTTGACACTCATCTGGCTTCTAAAAATTAAATTTTCAAAAATTATAAGTTAAAAATGTACAAACTTTTTCCATATTTAAAATTGTTTTTCGAGCATCGATTTTATTGTTAACTTCTTTGAACAAAGCACTGGTCTTGCTTAACGAGCGTAAAGTCAATGAAAGTTTACCAATTTCACTTTTGATGTTTTTCTCTTCTAACGAGTTTCTTCGACTTCCTTCAGACTCTAATTTTTGTAGTGGTGTTCCAACGAAAGAATCCTCACTCGTAAATTCTTTTGATTTTGAATCTGATGATTTTGGAAGTCGTTGCCTCACTTCAGAATTCTCTCGTTTAGGAAGTTTCAATTTAACCGCAAATTTTGGTAATTCCAAATCCATACTTTCTTTCTTTTCTTCTTTATCACGTCTTCTAGGATCTTTTAGTGAAGCATCTGTTCTATTTAATGGAATATTTACATGTCGGAGAAAAACAGTTCGAAGACGAGCAGTTAAGGAACATGGACCTGATGACGTTGACGGCAAGTTAGAGTCGCTCGTTTCTTTAAGGTTTTTAATTATTTAAAAACGTTAAAATCAAACCTTTCTTCTGTATCGAAGCTTGAGGTTGTTCCGTTGTCTTTACTACCTGAGGCTGTTTTTCTACCTGAGGCTGTTTTTCAGTTTTTACTGAAGGGGGTTTTTCGTCTTCTTGAATTGGTTTAAGTTTTTTCACGTCTTTCTCCTCTTCTTTTCGTGGATCATCGTTCGCTTCATCATTGAATGAACATGTAGAGCAGCTAAAATTTAGGGTTTGCTAAAATAAAATTTTATATACCTATCTGAGCTAGAATTAGATGAAGAAGAATAAGTGCTAGATGAGGAATATGTGCCTGTAGAGGTACTCGTAGAATAAGTGCTAGTAGAGGATTTTGTTGAAGAAATTTTATTATCACGTTCTACTCGATCCATCCGTTTAGGCGGAACAGGCGGAGGTGGAAGAATAGAGGACACAGAACGCGAATCTAACAAAAATAAAGATTTTACATTTAATTTATATTTACAAAACCTGGCTTATTAGAACGTTGATGAGAACGTCCGTGACTTTTCTTGGATTTTGACTTTTCCGTTGAATGATTTCTTCTGTTCGGTTTTTCCGTGCCATTTTCGCGAAAATATTGCTTCTTACTTGAACGATAGCCAGGGACTTGCGCATTTGAATTTTTCATTGAACTGAAGAAAAATATACAATTAATATTTTAATAGTAGAACATAGCCTTTTATTAAGGTAAAAGTTTTATGTATCTAAAAAATTGAGATTTATGATCAAAATTAAAAAAAAGCATGGTCAATTAAATAAGTTAATTCATGGTTAAAAATTCAATTAAAAACAATGAATATCAAATATTAACAGATACTCTATTATTCCCTAGACTTAAAATTTATCTACTTAAGTGTGACTTAGAGTGTCACTAGAGTCCGAAAAACTTCAAAATTCTTCTAGATTTTAAACCTTTTTTGAATAAATAATTAACATCAGAATTAAAAATTAAAGAAATATTAAAGCTTAAAGAATGAAATATCAAAGCTTCGATTCGATTTATTAACCCTATCAGTTTAATTAGGATAATGGTGGAACACGCAGCTATCATCGATTTTCTCAGAGGTTGAAGAATAAGAATTGTGAATCAACCCAGAAGATCAACACCTAAAGGATCAACACACACTGTCGTCTCTCCGTTATCACTTTAGTGCATTTTAAGTCTTTTGAGAAAGAATACAAATTTCAGAATTTTTTAATTTTAATTAAATAACAAATAAATATATGCAAGTTTATGAAAATTAAGAAAAAAAAATCCATTAATGTTTTAAATATTTCGTCTTGAATTCTTATAATATAAAACTGAAACAACAGCTAATCCAGCAGTTGAAAGCACAAAAGCAATAATGAATATAATTCCCACTGTTTGCCATGTATTCGAACTTGCGCAGTCGCCAAAAAGATTTAATTCGTAATCAAGATATTCACCAACTTGTGGATATTCCGTTGTATTTAACTAAAATAAAATTAAAAGAATTGAGTATAATCCCAGAATATCAACAACTAAAGGATTAGCACTTACATTTTGTTTGCATTGTGTAATCTCTTCTGTATAGTTTTTACGCATTTTTTCAAGTTCATCTCGCCAGTTGGAGCCAAGATTGGTTATTGTCTTGTTAGCCTGATCATATAAGCTTTTACAGTTTACTGGCTCTCCAAGATCAGTTAATTCTAATGAAGAAATAATGCAAATTGTTTCGAAAGAAATGAGAAGAGTAATCAAAATTTGACGATTAGTTTTTGAGAGAAAGGAGGCCATTTTTGTAATTTAGTGAGAATGAAGAGTTTTTTCCTGACAGTTCCGTTCTCGTAAATACATAATTCTTTATATGGGAGTTTAAAGTCAACGCCCCATCCTGAACTCTCCTTTTTCTTATCTATTTAAACCTCTACTCCTTTTTTGTTTGCTTAGTGTTTTTTATTTCATATATTTTATTAATGACTCATTTTATTACAGTTAGGTGATACTAAAAGTTAAAAAGGTAATTCCAAGGCTGGTCCCCCCCCTTTTTTCCCTTTCCAATTTTTTCGATTTTTAAAACTTTTTATGGCAAATTATATATCGTTCGAAAGAGCTCTTCAAGCTGAGTCGAACGGTACTAAATTCATCGAAATCCGACTTAAATAAACATAGTTATGAGCATTTGTTTTAATCCCTTTAAACATCACAAAAAGCATGTCCATCGAGGATTTAGCTTCATAATTCTGCTCAGAATCTCCAAATCGAACCGATCATAGTATCATTCTACTTAGCTCGAACAGCTCTTTCGAATGATATATTGTAAATTATATGTCAAGCAAAAAAGCTCAAAATGGTCAGGGGACAGAAAAAAGGGGGGGGACCAGCCTTGGAATTACCGTTAAAAAGTAATAGCATTTTCATAACTTTCCACCTTTTTTTGTAGTTGTTGTCAGATTAGTTTTTTGCTAATTTTTAAAGTAAAATGTTGAATTATGATTAAAAAACATTCATCAGATTAAAATATGAGCAATAAAAAGTGAAAAAGGGGAAAAATACTAGAAAAAAATAAAAGGGGAAAAATACTAGAAAAAAATAAAAGGGGAAAAATACTAGAAAAAATATCTGTAAATGGATAGAACTATAGAATTTGCATTGATGTACATAAAAAAATGGAAAAAAATAAACATGCAGGGGGGCTGGCTGTAACGCTGATGATGGCAAATGGATAAAAGCGGTTACATAGTAATTAGATCAGCTGATTATTACTTTAATTAAAATAGAATTCCTATTTAAAAAATGAAAACAGTAAAGTTTAATTATTTATTCACAAAATCACCAATCTAATTTTGATTTTTTAATTTTTTAAATTTTTTAAAATCTTTTTGTAACTAGAGAATCTTAAAATGTCTAATTTTAATTTTTTATTAATTTCATTTGCGGAAATTTTTCTGTTTTGTGCTGGTGAGGTGATTAATTGGAAGTCTGATTATTCAGAATTCCGTCCAAGTGATGGTGTTTGTACTTTGGTAATAATAATTTTTTAAAATTATCTCAGCTATTACAAGGCCGGAGGCAAGACGCTTACTCCAAAAAATGTTCCAAATAAGGAAGAAGGTGTTTGTGGTGATAAACTTTATAGTTTATTGAAGCATTGTGCACAACAGAGCTTCTATATAGGCTTAAATCGACCCAGATCTGAATTCGCCGGTATTCTGTGTAACAATGTTCTAAATTTTTCTAAATTCTAGAATCCGCTCTTTATCTTATAAACGGTTGTCTTGAATGTCCTTATGGAAAGGCCGAAGCAACTATAAGTTTACATAATCACCTTCCATCGGGATCATTGTTTAGTGGATGTGGACAGGAGGATAAGATTGTAAGGTAAAAATGTCATTTGAAGATGTTTATTGAAGATAAATTGCTTGAAATTTTAGCAGCGTATCAGTGAAATTGAATTCTGAAAAGAATCCGCATGGAAGTTTCGCTCTTGGAGGTATATTGGAAGGACGAAAGTGTAATGGTCTTTTTGACAGCAGTCGCGAAACCAAGTTTGAAAAGATAGTTCTAGAAGTGAAACATAAGTAGGAGACTTCTTTCATATTTTCTAAATTTAAAAAATTCTTTTAGCTGTGGGCAAAAAAAGCCAATGAAACTTTTTGTTTTATTGCCACCTGTTGATCTTCCAAAACTTTTTAGTGAGAGAAACAATTTCCGTGAATGGGATGGGATTCGTGTAGATTTAGGAATATTTGGAGTTGGTTGGAATGAACGCTGGCTTGATTTTGGCGACGTCTTTCATTCAACAACAAAAGGTAGAAAAATAATTTTCCAAAATTATTTTCACAATTGTCTAGCAAAACAATTACCTGACGTACAAATTCAAAGCAACAATTCAAATATAATCCAACATGACGAAAAACCTCCTATTTCTGTATTACCAACACCTATCGAATTCATTGAAGAGTCCGAGAAGAGCAATGAACAAAAGGATAAAAACAATCATTTTGAGTTCAATCTGCCGTTTATTTTTGCTTGCGTTTTGGTCCCATTATTGCTTGGATTTTCCCTAAGTTTATTCAATTATTTGTTCAAATCCGTATTCTTCAAAAACTCTAACAAAACTGAAAATGACTATGAATTGGGTGGAGGAGCTTCCATTACATCATCGTCACTTTCAAAAGGAACAACAACAACACATTCGAGCATTAGTTCATTGCCTTAAAAAAAGAAAATTATTAAATTCTTTAATTTTATCTTCTTTATAAATTTAACATGCTATTGTTTAAAATTTATTTTTATATGAAAAGTGTAAGAACGTTCGTTCATTCTCTTCATCTTATTGCCGGTTGGCCAGGTAACCATTCCCCGCACACTCCAAATAATGAATGAATTTCATCTGCCCTCCCCTTACACCTTTTATTATTCAAAATCCATTGTTGAAGTCACCCAACGAGATAGGCCAAAATGTTAATTAAAATGATATTCGTAATTATTTTGTTCCTTGAATGCATAAAGACAGCCAATTTAAAACTTAGTTCCATCCTACCAGTTGACCATGAAGATGAACATAATGAGAATAATGAACCAGACGAAGCTGGAAGTAATGATGTTAAATGCCAAAATTGGAAGGGGAAAAACACAACTGGTCAGTCTTAATGTTCTAATTGCTTTCGAATCCTTTAAAAAAGATGATGATGATCTTATGGACGAGCAATTTACTGAGCTAGAAAATTGCATATGGAACTCATTGCTGGCAAAAGAGCACTCACATTCACCAAGACAAATTCATCCTTTATTGAGTCCTCCTCCAGAATATCCACTTAAATTCAGTGTAGAAAATTTAGTGGTCGAACAAGTTGATACGGTTTGCTTAAAATACAAATAAGTATGTATTTCACACATTTAGTTATCCCGCGCAAGTATGGAGTTTAACGTTTTTGGACACATACTTTTGGTTAGTTAAAATTTAATTTTTAATCTAATTATTTTTCCTAGTCTTGGAATGATTCCCGATTGCAGTGGGAAAAATCTGGTAAAAAGATAAAATTTTAAGAAATTCTTTTTGTTAAGAATGGGCTCTTGAAGGGATATCATTAGAAGAGGATCGGAGACGTGAACTTTGGACTCCCGATTTTATGGATGATTCGTTAGTTAATTATTGGATCATAAGCTTTTAATTTTTAAGAAACTGTGGTTCTAACGAAGGATGTATGGCCAAGATCGGTGATTTAAGTGTCACATCTTCTGGACAAGTATTAGGACGGCTATTATTTCGCTTTCCATCTTTTTGCCGCATAGACTATCGCAGGCAATTTTCATTTAAAATTTGTCCTAACTTTAATAAAAATTTTACTTGAAGTTACCCCGAGGAAAGAAATGATTGTTGTCTCTTTCTTGGTCTAGCGGATATTGGTCGCACAGTAGAGGTAAAACAGATAGAATTATAATGAATTTCTTAAAACAGTTTACCGTCGGAGCCAAAAGTAAATTTGCTACTTTGGCTAAACGAGTACATGTAAGACGTGATCGGCCCATGTCTGCTGTTGTTATTTCTAATCTTATGGAGACATCGCCGTGGGCTGTACAGGTGATTTTTTAATTAAAATCAAATTCCTTTTGGATTTAGAGCCAAGCAATTGAACCAGCCCGTGTAGATGGCTCTCGAAGTGACAGTCTTCGTCTTTGTGTTCAATCAAAAAAGGAGATGAGCACACTTCGAATTGCTCTTAGGATTCCAGTTACAATAGCTACACTGTGAATTATACATAACAACAAAGTTATTATTCATAATTTAAGATTGACGCTTGTTTCACCTTTGTTTGGCGATTTGCGTACACAAGCCCTCGTCAAATGCTTGACTTTATTGCTTCAAACAATATGCTTTCTTTTCCTTTGTTCCATCGCACCAGCCAGTGGATTTGGCGGCTCAAAACCAAAACTCTGTAGGAAACATTTCCTTGATCAATAATTAAAACATTATCAATTTAGACACCTTCTATGAATTCATGTTTACTTTGACTTTTCTCTCAATCCTGGTACTTATTAAAGTTCTTTTCAATATCAGACACTTTAAGGTAACAACTGTTTGTTTGGCACTTAGTCGTATGAAAAGGACTGTACCAGCTACCCATAGTGTCTATCTAGGCGCAAAGGTGAGCACAAATAAAGGTCCCTTTAACACTTTTAAATGTATAAAAATTGAAGATGCTCAACCACTTCTTGTGTTGCATCGAGCCAGATCCTGCTACATCATATCAGCGACATTTAGGTCTGACCCTGAAATGAAGTAAACTTGAAATTTATTTAAGAGGATGATACAACAAGTACCCGAGACATGCCTAATCATGGACAAGCATTACAAAACGAGTAAAAATAAATTAAACAATAATTCTATAATTATTACTATAGTTATTCAATGGAATGGCGACACATTTACATTGCCATCAACAATCTCTTCTCGGGTTTGTGCTTCTCACTTTTCTGTTTTATCGTCATTTTTGATATAATGTGAGAGGGAAATTGGAACACCAATGATCTCAAGAAATGCCAAACTCAATATCATATCACCATTAAAAAGGATTTGTAGATACCTTCTATATTATTTTGAAGATTTTTAAGACCAAATTTAAGTCAATGTTTAATTTTACCAAATATATGATATAATAATAGATAATTGTTTAGGCACTACTGAAGATTAGAGCGTCATTTTGCTAAAAAAAATCTTACAAAAAATAATGCTACAATCATGAGTAGTGCCATTGTTTAGAAACAGTTTAAGTGAGAAATTAAAAATATTATGAAAATAATAAATTATAAAACAACACTCAAGATTTCCATGCATATAGAAAAGATTGGGAAAATTTTTTAAGTTGTAAAAATATAAATGTAAGGCACACAAGCTATATTTTTTCCAATCTTTGATAGGTCAATAAGAAAAATAAACAAAAGATATTAGGATAATATGGCTTTTAATTAAATGCCCTGAGAATAAGTTTAAGGAAGTTAAATTATTAATAAATATAATTATGAATATAAAAAAACTGTCAAGGCAAGTATATAAAACTTAATCCATTTCAAAAATAAATTAGTAAATCTACCAGATTTAATGAGTCTACCATTGTTACCAATTTTTTAAGCATTAATGCGCAAATCCTTCAATTTTGTATTCGTATAACAAAGTGAATCAGATATTTGTTGATAGTCAAATTGCCCATCGTCCTTGCGCATTTTTGCAATCTCGTCATATTCACGACTTGAATAATTAAAATTTTGTAATAAAAAAATTATATTTTTTACTAACTTGACTTGAAAAATTGCACGTCCTCGTTTAGCATACATCAAAGCAATATATACAGGAGCTGGTAGAGATATTGGTGAATTTATAATTTTGTGTCTAAAATTATTAAAGGTTATTCTTGGTAAATGAAATTACGCAAACCCAAATGAAAGCGCATAGCAAATTTGTTCAATTTGGTCCATTTTAAATTTGCTATCATCTTCTAAAATAGTAAAACGCGGTGTTCGAGTTGTTCCCTAAAAAATACATTATATTATAACTTGTAAGAAAAAGTTTGCTTGGATTGCCGAATGACAATTTAAATAAAATTCAGAATGTTCAGGATGTGTCACTTGCTCATCCACAACCTTAAAAATAAGGAAAGCTCATTAAAATATTCATAAAATATTTTACCGTTCCTGGTTTAATATTCAAATTCTTGGAAGAACCAGTAGACTTTGAAAGCTAAAAATTTTCAATTTAATGATAAAAGTGAAAATTTAACAACCTCTTCATGCGCAAAAAGACGAATATTATGTGTCTAAAAATAAATATATTTAAATGAAATTTCCAAAAAATATCAACCTTTTGTGAAACCAAAACAGTTAACTTGCAACTACTGGCTGAACATTCTTGCAGTGCCAAACGGACCATTGGTATCTCATATTGTTTAGCTGTAGCAAATTGCCCCTCAGACATTCCATTCCTAAACAGTATTAATCTTTTGGGTGCATCTCCTCTTGAATTTTGATATCGAGTCACACAAGTTTTGGTAATATGAGCTAATGTAGTATATTTTTCATCACGACGAGCCTCGTCAAATAAGTAATCGCCAACAAAGTCAAAGGAATGTTTCTTCATATTTGCTGCATACTAAAATAAAAAATAAATGAAAAATAAAAACTCATAAACAAACTCCAATAACAGAAGGAACATTAGGTGCAGCTCCTCTAGCGCGTTCATAATTTCCCAAAGCCCCAGGATGCGAAATGCCTAAACCAATAAATAAGGTACCATCTTCAATTAAATTGTGAATTCTAAAAAATTTTACAAAAAAATATAAAATATAATGAAAAAATAAACCCTTGATCAGCCAATTTGATTGTATAATTAATTCCTCCCATTTTTTCATTAGTCTTACAAACAATATTTAAAACAGTTTCCTGTTTGCCTCGCATTGCAATTTCAGCCGCATTAGAGAGCTTTAAATCTTGCGTGACAATTTCATATTTTCTTTCACATCCTTTGATTAAATCTGAAAAAATGATAATAAAGACGAATAAAAAATATTAAAAAACTATGCAAATTTGTAACAGCATCACTAGTAACAAAGAAAACAAAGTCGCAATTATTGTCTTTGCATATTCCTATACACTTATCAACGTCATCTGGGTTGGGCTGCAACATTTGTTTATCTGCCGGACCGTTAATTATCATACCATGTTGTTTACAGCAGTTTATGTAAGCGCGAATAAAATCACTGAAAATTAAAAAAGAATATAAAAAGATTAAGCAAGCATTTACTTCATTTCATTTTCACCAAAGCGATATTTCTCCCTTGTTCTTGCAGCAGGGATTAAATAAATAGCCCATTTTTCGATAGTTGCCGGCAAATAAAATGCATCTCTAACCTGCCATTTACCAGAATCCTTATCAACCATTGACTCTCTTTCTCGTCCAAAAAGAATTGTTGGAGGAGGAAGTCGACGACCTTTAGCAATTAACGGCTTCATAATGTGAAAAATTGAATTATTAGTAAAAATAAAAATTATTTTAAATATCTGAATTCCTGCTTCCTTAAGATATTCACTTTCTTTGAGATTTAATGCCTGAACGCTGCTCTCTATTTGTCGTTTTAAATTAGTTGGAGGAACAGCTGAAGCCTTAAAAGAACAATTCAATAAATACATGAACAAATATAACAAACTTTAATCATTGCAGCAACTTCCCTAGCATTTAATTGACTCAATTGAGCTCGTTGATTATCACGAATTGAACAGAGTTCCATTGGATAATAATTAGTCTGACCTTTTTCAAAAGCAGTTGCTAAATATAAAAATACATAAAATCATTATGTAGGAAAGAAATTATACCTAATGGAGCATCGGGATACCTTTTAAATAAGAAATTATATTTAAGATATTAAAATTCAAAATTACGAAAGTTTTTGGGTATATTTCCGTTTAAAATACTCCTGCACTGATACACGTTCGCCTTGTACGTCAATAACGTGAGTGGCAGCCGTCGCTTGACTCACACCACTTAACAACACTTCTCTAGACCGACCATTCGGATAGTGAACAATAACATGTAAACCTTAAATAAATGGAAATAAATGAACTTTTGTTGAGAAACCTTTCAATTGTTGGTTTAAATAAGCAATTGCACCGCGATCTACAGAACCGTCATCTCTAATTGCATTTGGACCAACAATTGATGCAGTCTTATCCAGAAGAGTACCATCAGTATTATGAAAAGGTGTCTAAAAGAGAGGGTAAAATGCAAAAATTATTTTAAAAATAAACCTTTTTGCTCTCTACAACCAATCCTACTTTTTTTGAATTTCGACCTGTAGGTCCTTCGACATATCGTACGCTTTTATGAATACCAATTGCCAAATACTTGTTATGCGCACTAAGCTCAGGTCCATCCTCGGGAACAAAGTCATACATATCAGGAGTAATCAAATAAGAAGTTCCTCCGCCGAGAATGACGTGCTCGTTACTGGGAAAGAATTGAACGATAAGTTTCACTTTAAAAAAAAACAAACGGAGTCTGAAGTGGATGTTGTGAAGTTGCAAGCTCAATAAATTGTGCCAAGGAATGCTAAAATCATAGAACCCTTTAACTATTTAAGTAAATTTCCACATACATTTTGTTTGCTCATATCATTAGTTAAAAATGAAAGGTCCGCTAATTCAACTTGCTTATTCACTTTTCTAACAAGCATCTGAAAGAAAATTATCTAGTTATTAAATAATCTAGTGAAGCAAAAACAACCTCCACTCTATTAAAATCCTGTAACAATTTATGACTTTCACATTCCTCTTTATTAAGTTGAAATTTCTGCTCGTCTTTTCCTTCAAATGATAACTGGAAGAGTGTATAGAGAATTGACTGAAGATCATAATACAAAGTGTAACGATTTTCGCCAAAAACGGCCTTCTCCTTCTCAAAGAAAAAGTCAAAAGCGACACGACAAAAATCGCGACGATCAACGACAACACAACTAAAAGAAATAAAATTATATCAAATATATTTTTAAAAAGCTTACTCGTCCTTTGTTCTTTTAGTAAATTCAATACGCGCTGGTCCTTTCTTCTTTGGTACAGCAGAAATTGTAATGTCGTAACGATAAACTGTTCTAAAGAATTAAATTATTTAATAAAATATAAGTTAAAAATAAATATACTTTTCTTCCATCTTAACTCCATAAACATTTGTTAAAACTCGAATTTTCTCTCCGACTTCCCCTGGATCAGCTTTCGATTCTAAATGTGGATCCCCAACCTCAAGTCCAAGCGATTCCATCTCCTTTTTTATCTCTTCAAGCTTCTGAGTCTTCCTTCGCTTCTCTGCCGAAGTAGTTGTACCAGGTGAACTAAAAACAAATTTAACTTAAGCTAAAAAACGAACTAACGTCCTTCTAGGTCCTCTGTTTCCACCTCGACCTCTGCCTCGTCCACCACCACGACCTCTGCCTCGTCCACCGCGTCCACCCCGACCACCAGCAGAGCGCTGTTTATCGGCATCGAAAGCTGCCATTCGACCCTGACCACGCTGGCCTAGCGGCTGATTGTTAGAACCACTTCGATCCATTTAATTGATATTTAAAATTTGTGTTACTTTTCTAGAAAATAAGAAAAAAATTATTAGTATGCTTAAGTCATGGAAGAAAATGATGAGTGGAATACTATCTAGGTTTATGCTCATCAACCTAAGTTTGATGAAATGTCAATGAACTAACCTCAAGCTAATATTGATTCATTGATTAAAGCTTCAATAAATAGGAAAATAGTTTAAGTACATATGTATGTAATAGACAGCGAACAAAAAAAAGAAAAAGCAAAAAAGGATAAGAATTTAAAAATTTACGAATATCTAAATTTTGAAACAACAAAAATAAATAAACAACTCTACTAATTTTGCTCTATCCTCACACCAAGTGCTCTTTCCAAGGATTGGATGTCTATCTGTTTTCCAACTTCTTTATAATTCTTTATCAATTCCTGCATTGTTTTTGATCTTTCAACATCTCCATATTGAGCCTCTAATCGAGCAAATCCTTTGATTAATTGTAGATCTTAAATAAAAATTATTACAAAAAATTCAACAATTTTTACATACGTTTTCGTTTTTCTGTACATTGTATTGCTCTTCTAAGTAGTTGAAGAATTTGATTTGAATCATTTTGCTGCAACAAATGTTTGGCAAAAGCAAACCAAGGTTCTATTTCATTACTCTTCTTAATTAAAGATTCAAAGTAACCACGAATCTCCTAAATAAAAAATATATAAAAAATTAAGTCATAAATTAAAAACCATTTCACGACCCTCTGCATTTGGCTGTTTCTTCAGAAGATCAATCAAGTATTTATGTGTCTTTAATGGTTCAGTTGCTGCGCAAGCACGTTTAAAGCATTCCTTCAATGATTTTTCATTGCCTAAAAGCACTTCCAAATAAAGATATGAACGCCAAATTTTACTCAAATCATTATCACTCCTGTTTAAATTTTAAAGAGTAAAAAATAAAATTGCTTTAATGTAAAAACTCGAATGCTATCGTTTGTAAAGCGCGCTCAACAACTTCCTTTCCCAAAATATAATTCTTCTTTGAAGTACTTTTGCGTGTCATAAACTGAATGTAGCTAATCCAATGTGAAATTGAATTAGGATTTGTAAGAAGAATTTGTTCAAACTCTTGTGCTGATCCAGATCCTTCACCAATCTCGTTTTCCTTAAAATGTTTTATAGTAATTAGTTGTAATATAAAGTAAAAAAACCTCTTCTTCCAAAGGTTCGTCATCAACACCATCACATTCACCATTAAAAGTATTATCATCACTTTCATCAGTTGAATCATTATCATATTCAGACATTATCACATCATTTGACAGATTTTTGGTCTTAAATTTGACGTTTAACAAAAATTTAGAATGAGATTTAATGAAAATCAACTTACCGATTCTCCATCAAAATCACAATTAGATGCATCAACCAACTCCAATAACACAATCCTACCCCTGTTTGTTTTGTTGACACCAATCACTTTGCCAAAACGAAGTTCTCCACTGTCGAACAAATCATCGACACTAATTGCAGAATTTTGATGATCCAGTTTTGAATTGATTTTAATATTCTCTCTTGAAATAATAGCAGAAAAATCAGGATTTATCTAATAATATAAAAAATTCTAAAACAATCCAATCAAATGAGCAACCTCAGCAAAAACATTATTTGTAGTATTTGAAGATTTTGAAACAATGAAAACTGCAACCACATTTCCAGGTTTGAACACGCTACGATAATTCAAAATTGAAAGTTTTCTTCGTGACTCTTGCAACTTATCACATCTTGCTGTGCATTCAACAATTCTTAATTCATAGTTTATTAAAGAATTTTTAAAAAATAATTTTACCTATTTGACTTTCTCCGTTCCTCAAGTAATCTTTTCCCTTTAACAGGAAACGCTTTTCTTTTGCTAACAGAGAGAACCTTAATATTTATCATCTTTCCAGTGTTTCGTTCCAAAAATTGTTGCATAGGACATGAACCCTCTCCATATTCATCTAAATTGTTTAATTCGCTTACATGGAGTCGACCTATAAAAAATAAACACGTTACTCACGTCTATAAAAATTGTTCAGAAAACGACTCACTAGACTAGATATCAAAATATTGGTTTAAAATATATAATTTACCAACACTTCCACCAGGAATAAGTAATTCAGCCGTTGTAGCAGAAGATGTACCTCCATATGGCCACGGCCCAATCACTTCAGCATTATATATTCTAAATGGTTTTGCAAGTTTAGTGTTCGTTGTAATCTTTTGAGAGTTTGTAGTTAATGTCTTCTTTTGCTTGTTTACTCCAATTCCAATTGCATGAATAGGTTGTTCGAGAATCATTTGTGAACGTTTTGGATCTACACTTTGTACACGAACTTTGATGCAACAACCAATCTTAGTCGCAGCCTCAGGAAGCCCTATCAATTCATTTGGGCGCATTATTCCTACAAAGAGAATAGGTTAAAATTTAAAAGTATACTTATTACTCATACCAGTTATTCTGTTGAAAAAAGCAATTAATAATGAACCGCCTTCCAGATGCTTAATAATAACTCCTGTTGAAACTGCCCCTTCCAAATTCTTGTCAAAAGTTGTAATAAACTTTTCATTTCCAGGCTTTTTTACCAATGATGGCTTTGAGGTAAGCATAATTCTGTTAGAGGCTGAATCAATAAATAAAACACGACAACGCAACTTTTGGCCTCAAATTTTGTTATTAAATATATTATAAAATTCTAGTAACCTTTTTTAAATCTGCTTTGCCATTTATCCACAGGCTTGTCAAGAACGTGCATTGCACATACAAAACCAGTAAATCCATCTCCAAATTCGATAATAATTCCAGTATCTCTAATAGATTTTATAGTTCCGTTAAGAACGGCACAAGGAACCACATTTTCTATAGAAAACACAGTTTGCTTCATATCTGACTTTTTCATTGAAACATTCAAAAGTCGTTCCATTGGAGAATATCCAATAATACGAAATTTATGTTCAGATCCAATTTTAAACTTGTCAGCTAAAACAATAATGTTAATTGAAATAAATTATAATAATACCTTCAAAATTTTCAATATTAATTCTCAAACATTTGGCAGTAATTAAATTTTGACTACCGTCGTCATCCTCTACTAGATTAAAATACAAGTTTTGCATCTTGTCTATATAATATACGATTCCAGTATTTGATGAACCAACTTTAATATTCTAAAAAAAGATTTATAAAGACTTAAAAATGAGAAACCTCAGGGAGAAGTCTTTTTTCCAATTTAGATAAGGCAATAATATCAGGATGAGCATTGAGAACAAGAACGGAGGAATTTGGCTGAACACATACAACACAAGCACGGAACGGCTTCAATACTTGAGGAGAATCCAATCGAAGCCGAGGAGGTAAATGAACCTTTCGGATATATACTTTTTGACCTTAAAATCACAAAAATAATTTTAAATTTTTTAGAAATACCATTTTTAATGCTAGCAAAGAGTCCATTTAAAACATTTTTCTCTGGTGTAACTTGTATAATTGTACCAGGCATAAGTTGTTTTTGATCAAAATCATCACTTCCATCTAAAACATCAAGTCCAACAAACCCAGTCAATTTAATCACACGAGTTTCTTTATTTGGTCTTTCCCTAACAGAGAATAATGCAACTTGACCAATGAATAATTTATCTAATTGAAGGTATGGAGGTAAATGCTCAGCCTGAACAAATCCTTTAACAGAACTTGATGAGAAACCAAGATCAATTATAGCACCTTAAAAGTAGTCAAAAACAATATAAATTTTTCTAACCTTTTTCTTCAATGCTTGAAACAATGCCATTTAGAACCGTATTTTGAAGAAGTGAGGAGGGAATTAAGTAGTTATTTATCTCATATGGACATATTGAAACAATGCAATTAGACTTATTTCCTAAAATAATAAATCCCCACTCTAAAATATTCGAAATAACCTGATTTTTCATTGACAACAGTGAAAGCAAAAGCTTGACCTTTATGAAAAATATTATTCAAATTTGCTTTTGTAGTAGACATTTGATTATTAAATATTCTGCTAATTTTATCAGCTGGCAATACTAATCTAATTCCATCAACACATTCCAAAATAACTTCAATATCTCCTATCTAACAAGAAGTTAAAAAATTAAAAATAAATTAAAAATTAACAAACAAATTTGACAAAAGCCAATCCTCTCATGTTTTGAGCGAGTAATTCAACAGACATATTTTGACGAAATGCGGTAGCATATTCCTCGTTGTCATTGTCCACAGGACCATTAGGATCCTTAAAATAGAAATTCGAAAATTTTAAATAAAAATCTATTAACCTTTGGAGGATTTTGAATATTTGAAGAATTTCGTTTCACACCTCGTTTTTCCTTATTAGCCTTTTTCAAATCAGTTTGCAAAGACGATTGTAGCTTTGTTGAGCCGCCACGGGGAAAATCAATTTCAGTGGACATGTAGGTAATATATGTATTTAACTAATGCAAGAAAGTCACAGCTCTGAAAAAGGAAAGAAAATAAATCAAAAATCGATAAAAAATTTCAAGAATTTTTGGCAACAACAAATAACTCGAAAATGCGCACTTATCGATGGGACTCAATCCGGTGGGGTACTATTGAGTACCGCCGATTGAGTACCGCCGTTTGAGTACCGCCGGTTGAGTACCGCCGTTTGAGTCCCTGGCCAGTTGAGTACCGCCGTTTGAGTCCCGCTGGTTAAATTTCCCTGTCTTTGGAACAACTTTCTCTGACTTTGGAACAACTTTCTCTGACTTTGGAACAACTTTTCTCGTCTTTAGAACAATTTTCCCCGTTCTTGGAACAACATCCACTGGTGTCGGAACAACATTCATAGTTGTCGGAACAACTTTCTTAATAATTGTAACAAGTTTCTCACTAGTTGGAATAACCAGAATCAACATTGGAACAACTCCCCCGTTATTGGAACAACTTTGCACAATGTTGGACAAACCTTTCCCATAGTTGGAACAACTTTCCCCGTCGTTGGAAAGTTATTCATATATAACCAGCGGGACTCAACCGGCCGGGACTCAACTGGGCAGGGACTCAACCGGCGGTACTCAACCGGCGGTACTCAAACGGCGGTACTCAATCGGCGGTACTCAATTAGAGATCGGAATTTTGAAAAAACCGGGACCGGGAACCGGGAAACGGGTTCTGAAGGTCGACCGGGAGGGACCCGGACCGGGAAAACCGGGAATTCCCGTTCCCGGTTTCATCCCGGTCAAAAATGACCGGGACCCGGACCGGGAAACCGGGAAATTTTAAAAAATTTTGAAATGCATTTAAAAATTTTAAAAAGTTATGGGAGTAGTTATTTATTGAAAAATCTGATTTATAAATAGAAGAATTTAATAAATCAGTAAAATAAATAAATAAAACAAATGTAAATTACAATAAAGTAAAACATAAAGCGGATTACGTAGGGCTAAAGGGATTTGAGTAATTGTGGGATATTAGGAGATTTTGGAGTTTAAGATCTCTCGATAGCCTCCTCAAATTTTTTTATATCGCCTATATGTATTCCTCATCTAATTCCCTTTAATCCCTCCTAATCCACATTGATGCTGATTTAATTTTTATTTATTTAATTTTTATTTAATCCCTCAAAATCCACTCTGAACTTCTCTGTGCAATAGTGATATCAGGGATTAAAAGAGATATCAAGAGATGTTGGGATCATTAAGAGAGATTATGGAGAAAGACATCCAACCACCTATATCACCTGATATCTATTCAAATCTCTTCAATTGGAAGGCAATGATATCATATGATTAAATCATATGATTAAGGCAGATATAATGGATTTAGAGTAGGGTTGCGCCCCGAGCCTTCGGGGTTGAAAAAGTCGGGGGTCGGGGTTTTCGGGGTTGACAAAGTCGGGGTCGGGGTCGGGGTTGATCAAATTGTTCGGGGTCGGGGTCGGGGCTGAAAATAATGTCGGGGTTCGGGGTCGGGGTCGGGGGTCGGGGTTGAAGTGAAAATGAACAAAATCCAGCATTTTTATCCAACATTACTGTTCAAAATCAACATTTTTATTAAAAAATCAACTTAATCTTCATTATCTTCACTTTCTGTATCTAATTCGTTATTAGTTGAAGGCGCAAGAAGTACTTTATCCATGTTATCCTTCATAATCCCCAAACCCATAAGGTAACTCTTACTCCCCCTCTTATGTAAAGGGATTGAGGGGATATGAAGGCATATCAGAGGATTAAGATGGATATAATGGAATTTAGAAGGATTTGAAGGGATATCGGGGATTTGCAAGGATAACGGGAGAAATCCATCTATCCATCAACTTCTCCTAAAGCCTCTGTATCCCTTCATTGAGTCTAGCGCCGCAGGCAAAAATTTTGAGAATTTTGGAAGGTCAAGAGCCAGATTTCTTCCATTTTCTGCGCCGCAGGCGAAAATTTTGGAAAATTCATGACTAGTTTAAAATTTCTAATATTGTTTCAAGTTTAAAATATTAAAAAAATAAATTTGCAAATTTAAAATCAAGATCAAAGTTTAAAAATATTTATTTTTGAAAAGAAAAATTTTCTCTACCTCATTTCCATCTATGGATTCGAACATCATCCTTGTCAAAATAGCTAGATGGGTGAAGTCAGTTAACCTAACCACACAACCACCGACCAACAAAAGGAAACAGGAGAAAATATAAATATTCCTTTCCCTTTCCTTCATATATTTAACATCAAAGTCCCGATCCCGTTCCGATCTCTAGTTAATTAATGCAGTTTGAGTCGGGGGCATAAAAATTTTTCGGGGTTCGGGGTTGTCGGGGTCGAACTTTCGGGGGTCGGGGTTTTCGGGGTTGGGAATGTCGGGGTCGGGGTCGGGGTTTTAGGTCAAAAAATGTCGGGGTTCGGGGTCGGGGTCGGGGTTAGTCGGGGTCGGGGCGCAACCCTAATTTAGAGGGATAAAGATGGCTTAATCACCAGGTCCCTTGATAAAATACACTAATTTCCCTCAACTTTTCCTCCAATAATACCTCCAAATTTCTTTGTTCCAAATTCTTCCGCGAAAATTTTGAGAATTTTGGAAGGCCAAACAGCCAAATTTCTTCCGTTTTCAGCGCCGCAGGCGAAAATTTTGAGAATTTTTGTAAATCTCCAATATTTTTAAGTCAAAAATCAAAACGCCAAGCAAAAATATTTAAAATTAGCTGCTAGAATTTTTCCCGGTTTCCCGGTCCAAAAAAAGCCGGGATCGGGAACGGGAAACGGGAAATGAAAATTAACCGGCCGGGACCCGGACCGGGAAAACCGGGAATTCCCGATCCCGGTTTCATCCCGGCATCTTCAAAAAAGCCGGGAAAAAGGACCGGGAAACCGGGAAACGGGACCGGGTCCCGATCCCGTTCCGATCTCTATACTCAATAGTCTCGTTCCCGACTCAATCGTCTCAAGTCCGAGACTCGATCGTCCGTCACGAAAAAAGCGGCCATTTCATCACAAAAAAGATATACAGTATGCACATTGTGAAAAGAGTGATTGATGGATGAATTTGCTAAGTTTGAGAGGAAAGTGATTGACTAGGAAGGGGATATCTAATCTCGTGACCTTTAAGGATATCAGCCAAGTGTCACCCCAGTTTAAAGCTATTATTTTTATTAGAAAAAAATGCTTAAGTTAAATTCATTTTTCCTCCTTGTTTTATTTCTAAAACAAGTTAATTTTATTCATTCTGCTAACAATAAGGAAGAAATATCTGAAAATGATATACCGCAACAACAACAACCTTCTATACTTTCTCAAAATGTGCCAAAATTTGCTAATGCACAAGATTCATCTACGGAAATGCAACACGAAACAAAAGACAATCTTGCTGAAGGGTGGGATTTTATTTGTTTTATTCCCTCGATTTTCTCCTATTTGAAAGCTTAATCCATATTTTATCTAGGAATGATCGAAATAATATAGATGAAGGTGATGTGGCGAGTGCTGGACAACAATCGAATGATTTGAACGAGATGATCAATCAAATTAAAGAAGTGGAAATTAATGAACAGTTGGAGTTGAATAACGATTTATCTTCCCTTAGTGAAGGAAATCCCGAGAGCGGTAAAAGTGAAGAAAATATTCTTAGCACCAACCTAGTGGCGACTACATTAACTACCCCAATAAAAGGCAGCAATAATGATGTTGATAATTTACCAGAGTTAGAAGTTTCAGAATTAATATTGAAAACAACTGCAAAACCACCACCGGATCCTCGAGTGTTTGACGAAATTGAGAAAAAAGCAAATCGAACAATTGAAAATATTTCCTTACTAAAGGGAGATGAGATAATTTCTCAACAAAGTGATACTTTTGATAAGAATATTTCAAAAGAAAAAATCAGTCTTCCTGATAAAACAATTACATACGCTGTGCCTGAACAAGAAAAAGAAGTGGAAGAAAATAATAACAATGAAGATTACTTTAATAGGAAAAATACACTCCATTCAGTCGAAGATGAAGTTTGGATAACAACTTTAAATTTTATTTGAACGTTATCATTTTTCAGAAGACAGATTTGGAAGTAAAGAATCATGAACAATTCAATCCCCACAACTCTCCAAAAGATATAGTTGCTCCACACGTAGATCAACATCCTTTGAAATTAACCGAAAAGAATGTTGGCGTGGATGAGATTAACAATAAATCGGAAGAAAGCGAAGAACAAAAGGAAAATCATGTGGAAGAATTATCCCTTTGGGAGAAGATTTTGCTCGGTCTCCGCTGTGCAAGGCAGGATTGTCAAGGTTTGTTTTAGCAATAATATATAGAATCCAACTTTTACAATAGATACATTTATCATCGAAGAACAAGATGAACAATCAAATAAACAGAAATTAATCAAAGGATGGAAAATAACAAGAGCGCGGCGAGATTTTGTTTGTCCATGCAAAAATATTCCCTTGTGATTTTTCATGTTGATTATATTTTTATGATTAATATCACCATTTTGAAGCTATAAAATTATTTACAAACCTATATAATTATTTACAAACCTATATTCTCTTAATTAGGATAAAAACAATTTTCCAAAAAACACTTTTTTGCAAGTTACAAAGCAAAAAAAGTTTTCATTTTTTTCCTCAAAATCTTCCAAGTACAAAATAGTTGCATTAGGATATATGAATTTTTATTGTACAAATATCTGCGCACGCTTTCACTTAAAGTGGAGGTCAGAGAAAATGTTGAATTTAGTTGGAATGGAAGAAGATTCGCGGCTCTTAGCCTAAATTCTAAAATGAGGGCGTCGTTAATCCTTTATAGATTTCCCTTTTACACAACGATTTTTATATTTTAAACCTGTTTTAAAAATAGAAAAAGCAAGTTATTATTGAAGATAATTTGATTTCTTTGTTTTTATAAAAAGATTATATCTTCACTTTTTTAAATTTAATCATATTAGATTCTAATAATTGCATCGATTCAATTTATTTTAAGGCTTGATCAATTGGGTGTATTGTGAAATGGAATCAATGACAAAAATAAAAACAAAGAAAAAACAACAATCCAATGATTCTTGCCTTGCCCTTCTTTGTTTTACAATTGAATCATTGAGGATGATCTTTATATTCCTTAGATATTCTCAAAGTCAAAGGAATACTCAGTTAACAATATTCCATCACATTTCTATCATTCTCACACTTATTATTTCCCCAAGTTCTTGTCAATTCAATGCAAGGAATTATCCTGATCCGAGGTTAAGGACAATACACCTAATAGATATAATTTTACTGTATATTTTATTTACAGAATGGATCCATTTTCATGTCGATTAATTCTACCTGGCCAAGTTTGTGATCCGGCTGAGATTTTAACGCCAGATGAAAGAAGGATACTAAACGAAAAGATTACCAGGGTCAGTGCTTCTAAAAAATTATAGATAGTTTGTCAATTTAGCTCCAGCAAATAACCGCCAATATCAAAAACACTTCTCCCGCGTGTGCAGATACAACAAGGAACACTAACCTTCATATTGTTATTGCTTTAATGGAGAAACTTGGTGCACACGAGTTAGTGATTAACCAAGAATTAATCTCTGAATTGATTTTAGTAACATAATTAGCCGTGATTCTATCAATATCGAAAAGTTTACAAATCAATTACGGTCCAAATATCAGAATTACCAAGTAATTTTTAAAAGATGCTGCATATTGTAACTTATATGCTTATATAATAAACAGGATTCATTGTTGTGCGACAACTTAGTGCTGATAGTGAATTCACGAAGTGATCGACAGGTTTTCACCGTAGCAGGAAGGGATGCAAAGGTACTTTTCAATAGAAAATAGGATTTTCGCATAATTTGTATTGCAAAGTTGAGTCAGGATGTATTGCAGACTGCCTTTCACAGAAGCGTAGGACATTTTCGACTGGGCAATTATGCGCAGGGTTTTGAAGGAATGGTTGAATACATCGTTTCCGCATATGGAAGCGCGCACATTGTTCAAACTCCAGCCATCGGAGACGGGTAAAATTTAAAGAATCGTAACAACGAATATTCTAAAGTTAGCCTCAAAGTTTAAGCGTGTTTCCAACTAACACTCAAACACTTTCTACATTCCCTTCTTCTTCTGGGACAGGGCAATTCACAGCTATTCAAGGAGTTCGTCAAAAGACAAACATCAACAAACTGGAGAGATTCGATTTCGATGAAATTCCTGAGGAGGAACGACTTTGGGTTCGAATTCTAGTGAAAGTAAATAGACCATCAGGCAATTCCAAAATGAATAATTAAAATTTTTTCCAGGCATTAGCACAATGTGGAGACGATCTTAGCAATTTAACTTTTCATGTAAAAGCGATAGCTGAAGGTTTCTTAAAATAGCCAAAAATAATACGTATTTAGTAAATTAAGAAGCGATGGATATTTCCTTGAAGCTGATTAGTGATCTTCATTACAATAAAATTGAAGAAGAATTGCAGAATACAGATAAGGAATCGAAAGATCGGGAAAAGGCTTGGCTTCGCATGAAACCCTATCTTGAAAATTTGTATTCAAAATATAAAGAAATGCCTAATAACTTAGATCAGTGCCCAGAAAGAAAAACATAACGTTTTTGAGATTTAAATTCATATTTAATTTAGTCACAATAAATGTTTAGTCTCTGTCGAAACTGGTCAAAAACAAAGAAATACGAAAAAATACACCCTGAGTAAAAAACAAATTGGACAAACTCGCAATAAACACTCTGCCATAATTTGGCGCAAAAATGAATAAATCTAGCGCAAATTTAAAAATTTAGACTTTAGAGTATTTTTCCTTTGATTTTTTTTATTTTTTGAGTATTATTTGGATTTTTTTTTGTTTGTTCTGATTTTTCAGTATCTTTAATTTATTCAGTTACTTTGTTTTATTTAGAAACTTAGTTTTCATGAAGTCAACTGGTATTGAAATTATAAACTCAGGACTTCAGTCATCGAACGTTCGAATGATATCAAAAAATGATTTTGGTCATCTTATTAGAATTTTGATGTCCTATTTATCGCCTACCAACTCGCCTGAAGACGTAAATTGTGAAAAAGAAATAATTGAGATTTTTAATCAATTTCAACAATTTATCGAAAGAGAGTTTCCAATTAATCGAAGGTTTTTAATTAAATATTTTATTTTCTAATTTTATTTTTAAGAGTGGACGGGTTAAACGTTGCTAACAATGCAAAGATTATTTATCTTCACATGGTTTACCTGAATAATAGATTTAGACCTACAGAACAATTAGCTCAAAAAGTTGCCGATGTTTTAAGTGCTCTTCAACAAATCACCAAACTTTCACATGACCAGTATTATGGGCCAGTTAGGGCCTTGGAAAATAGAAAGCTACAAATTTCATTAGGTAGAATTTACTTTTTTTTAACATTTTATATTTTTTATTACCAGGCTTGGTTGAGGTACTTACTGAATTGTTCGTTCTGGACGTTAATTTATTCGGTATCCAACTTACTTCATATGAGAAATGCAGCAAATTTCGTCGTTCCATCGGAAATGCTCTTATGAATTTAGTATATCAGCAGCGCGAGGCTAAACTTCGGCTCTGTACTAATCGTCAATTCTTGCTTAAAGTTGCTGATGTGATTGACAATATATCTCCTTTAATTCAAGTAGCTTTCTTTTAATTCATTCTTTTTGATATTTTTAGTTCTACGCTGGTTTGATCCAAAATGTCTCATATAATTCTGATCCTTCTATTTCTCAGCACTTGTCTATTATTGTACCCCCTCTTGTTCGTACAGCTGTTAATATTGCTTTAAAAGAACGTGTTGGAGTAAAGGTTTTCGATCCTCTAGCTCTTTCTTCTCAACACAAACAACAGTTACTTAAAGTTCTCTCTGCTCTTTGGAATCTTGCTGAAGATCCTGCAAAAAATAAACATGTTATGGTTCGTTTTTTGTGCATTTTGAAGAAAACTTTTTTAGAAATTTTTTAATCAAATTTTTTAAGTGTATTGAGGTTCCTGAATTTGTCCCTATGTTATTACGGATAATGTTCTGTGACCAAAGTGAACTGCAATTAATACAAGCTGCCACTGGGATTATAAAACACTTGAGTGGTAAATTTCCTTTTAATATTTTTAAATAGTGCATTTCCTTTTAAGGTTATTTTATTCAATTTCACGACTTATTTGCTAAAATTTTACGAAAAGGATTGACTTCTGCTCTTATGCGTCAATTAACTTCTTCCTCATCTGATTTGATCATAGATTCATTAAGTGCTCTTTATGCACTTTCTAGACATCCAATCATTGGAAAGGAAATTCTATCAAATGAATCATACATGCAGCAGGTTTTTTCAAATTCCTTCTAATTTTTTAAAATCTATGTAAAAGATTGGTTACTTAACGCGAAATACAAATGAAGGAATTTCTCGGGCTTCCAGATTGGTACTTAACAACGTCTATTCCGTGACAGTATATTTTGCCAAGAATGCAGTACCTTTGGCTACTTGGCCGATACAAAGTAGCTTTTAATTTTTTTAATTTCTTTGGTTTTTATTCTAGATCTAATCCTATCACCTGTTGATCCTTGTGGACAACAAATGGCTTCAACAAATTATTCAAGTCTAAGACAGCAGAATGATCCTCCAAAAGTTAATAATCAAGGTTTTTGTTAATTTTTACAATTGTATTAACTTCTGTATCTAACAATAAGATTATCCTGAGAGGAAAGATGTCTCAAATCTGGAAAGTAGATCTGAGAGCAACAATGATTGTGTTTTTGTAGAAGGTTCGCTGCTAGATCATGGTGGCCAGGATTTACCAACTAGCGTAATGTGCACAAGAAATGCTAGTTCTCGTAGTTCTATCAATTCAACTGACCTTAAGGTTACACAGATTAAATAGTTTTTATAGATTTTCAGTTTAATAATGAATTGTCCTCCACTTCTGTGAGAAGTAGTGTCAGCCAGTCTCCAGAAAGTGCCACAGACCTACCTGATTCTCCTTCTCAATGTTCTTCTCATAAAGTTTTGCAACTTAAAGAAATGGAGGCAATTTGTTTTTTTGTTATAGAAATAATTTTATTTAGCTTCAAATTTTAAAAGCATTGGATGAAAATAAACACAGTGGTCATTGCACTAATGCAGATATCAGTGGAAATTCTGATATTCATGCAGGCGATGTTATTAAAAATGCTAATATATTGTTAGAAGACCACTCAACGTTTGATTGTCATTGACGTGTTTAAAATTATTTAAAATTGCAGTGAAGGAATTCTCGCGGAAGTTATACGTGATTTTATGCCTAAACCCAAGGATAAAAATGTATCTCTTAACGCAGATGTTACTCGAAGTTCAACACCTATTTTGACACCAATTTCTTGTAACAGCCCTTGCAAAGCAACATCTGAAAATGATGGGCCGAAGCACAAGAGTTATTTGTTTAATAAAAACTAAATATTTTTAATATTTAAAGGATGTACTCAATTACTTGAGGACTCAATTGCTGCAGTTATGCCTTCTCCAAAACATAGTGTTTCAAATCAGTTTAGAAGCAGAGACACGTCTTGTTCGGGGACTTCCTCTTCAAATGCGAAGATACAACACAACAAGTTTTAAATTTTTCACTTTTTAAATTTTTGTACCTTTTTTCAGTAGCGAGGAAGAAGATATATTTTTGAGAAGTTCCAAAAAATCCCTAGATGTTGGCAGTGATGCTCAATTGATTGTACTTGATTGTCAAAATATTCCTTCAAAAACTTGCAATCAATCAGTTAACATGGAAAAAAATATTCAATATTCTGGAAGGAAATCGTTAAATTTTTTTATTTTTCGTAAGATAATTTTTTATTTAAGAATTAACAAACCCGAATTTTCTGTTGCTTCCTATTCGTGTTTACCATTGTCGACTGAAGCAGATAGACATGGATCAACTACCAGAAGGCAGCGAGTAATTTCATCAATTTCAGACGGAGGCATACAAACGCATAATTTACAATCTTCGGTTTCAAAACCTAAAAATCAACTGACATCTAGAAGGAGTTGACATGTGTGAAAAAACAGGCATTTTTATAATTGCTTTATTTTTAATAGAATGAATGAATCAATATTAAATTATAATTTACATTTTAATAATTAATTTATTATTTAATAAATTCTTAAAATTTAAATATTAATGTATAAAAATATTAATTAATTTGTTATTTATTCAAAAAGTATTTTTTATAATATTAAAAAATAATAATTGAAGCATGTTTTTAGACGGAGGGAAGCCTTACTTTTAAATGAGCACAGCACAATCAGCGGAACAAGCTGCTCAACTTGCATATCAACAGGCATATCAATTATATCAGCAACAAGCAGCAGCTCAACTACAACAACAAGTTGGATCCAATCAGAAATATAAAAGCACTCTTTGCAACATTTGGTAAGAAATCCACGAGATCAGAACCTTCGTTAGATTTTTGGTTACTAAAAAAAGCAGAACTTCATTTTTAAATCTCATGAGGTTAAAGCTGGGATGATTTCTATTATTTTTAGGCTCATGGAAGGAGTTTGTCCTCGTGGTAGGCTATGTCATTATGCTCATGGTATCAGAGAATTAAATTATAGGTTGAAACTATATTTTATAATTTGAAAATTCATTTAAGCCAATATTACGCATTGTGGGGCACAACTCCGACTGTAGCTGCACCAGTAAATAAGTAGGAATTGATAATATTTTCCGAAAGAATCTTAAATTTTAGACCAGAAGATCATCAAAACAAATTTTTTAAGACGGCCATCTGTCAATTTTGGCAACAAAAAGGAGTTTGTAATAATGGAGATCAATGCAAATGGGCACATGGTTTATTAAGTTTATTACATTGGTAAATTTTTAGCTTTTAGGAGATCAGGAGCTTCGTCGATCAGTATGAAATTTTTAATTTAATTATACATGTCTTCTTAAAGGAAAATGGCTTGGGGATGGTGAGAAGTCTGTCATCCGATGAGCAAACGTCGAGTGTGATGATTGGACCTCAATTAGAAGGACCCTTACCAAAAAGGGAAATAATAGAGGATCAATGCATTAGTAACGATTTATCAAACGACAGAAAACGTAATTGGCAGGAAGCTGGTCTAGAAATTACTGATAGATAATTTATTTGAAATTTTGTTTCTATTCAAAAGTAAGTGTTCACATTTTACAATACTATATTTCCATTATTCAAACTTTTATATTTAAATAAAATTTTAGAAAATAATAACAAAACAATTTAAAAATTTTTTATTTAAGTTTTGGCCGTTTCTTTAACCACTTGTTTTTGCCACGTTCAAGTTTCATACGTTTCCTCACTCGTTCTTTAGCATCTTCATTGTGTTTGTCCTCTACTTCATGTTCGTTGTTTTCGTTATATAAATTTGAGTGTGTGAATGACTGCAGCATCTTTCGAATAGTCGTTTCAATTTGCTTCAATTTCCTGTCCATTTTTCTAGAAAAACGCATTTAAGAATGCACAAATAAATAAAATGTTTTTTCCACTTACTTTTGATTCCAGTCGACATCGTCTGAAACATCCTTTTGCGCAGAAGTAGATTCTTCACCACTATCCCAGATTAGATCCGCTTCCTTCGCCTGATAATAGGGGAAGTTAATTGATTTATCGTAATAAAAGTAAATTGGTGCTTTAGACTCCGATCATCTATGATCAAAACTTCATAGGTACTTAAAGGAATATTAAATCAACATTGGTTTTCCTCATAGTTTAATTTGACCAGGTAAGATTAGTACATTAAAAATAAAATAACCATCCGTTGAAACCAGCTGCTCTTTGTCCGTTGTTTTCGCCCTCTATGTTCAATCGATTCCGCTTCTGTTGCTAACTCTACCAAGTATTTACAACTTTCAAATAATTTCCGATCATCTATGGTCAAAACTTCCAAGTCCTCGCCTAAACATCTCAACATTAAATATTTTTTAATAAATAAAAAACTTTTTTCCATGCCACGGCAAATCTTTTGGTAGTATTGCAAATCCATTGGATCAACAAAAAGGATTGAAAGACCAGAATTTAAAGCTCTTGCTGTGCGCCCACTACGATGAATGTAATTCTAAAATATAAAAAATTAATGACCAAAAAGAAAGAATACTTCTGTCGTTTGTGGCACTTGATAATGGATAATTTGCTGAACCGATTGAAAATCTAAACCACGGGCCGCGACGTCTGTTGCTAGCAAGATTGAATTCTCCGAAGCTAAATTTTGTATATTTATAATTATTCCAATAAAATAAAAACCTGCAAATTTTTCTACGCTTTTAAGTCTATCCTTTTCCTTCATTCGTCCATGCAAAATACATGGCAAAGTGCCGGTGCCGTGCGGTGTTAATTTCCTAAGAATTGCTTGTAAGCGTCGGACTGCAGAGACAGAGTTACAAAAGACAAGAGTTCGACCTCCATAGCGTTTTAACAAATAAAAAAGATTTGCGTCCTTAAAAATAAATGTATATCAAATTAATTAGCAAAGAAAACTTTGTGAAGAAGATCCGTACAATCCATCCGACATTCAACTAGCATGTTTGGAATCTTTTTGGTCGTTGTTAAATCAACTACTGCTAATTTTTCTGGGCCTCTTCGCATATACATTGAACGGGCGATTTGTTTTACCTGAAAACATTAAAGTGAGGTATATTATTTAGAAAAAAAATTCAGCAAAATTTCAATATTTCAACCTTTTGTTTCGAGTCAATTTTCTGTGTATCCTTAATCTCATTTTTTCCGTCAGATTTCAAACCAACATTGTAAGTGAATGTAAGCGTTGCAGAGAATACAAATGTCTGCAATGGAGACCCTTTTTCACCAGAAGTTTTACAATGTTCAGTCCGTTTACTAGAATAAAAGCATAAATCTCTTTTAAAAATTACTAAATAAACCTATGAATATGCTTAATAATATATTTCAGTTCTTGGAAATGTCCTTCTTTTAACATTCTATCTATTTCGTCAACAACAATAAATTGCAAGCCTGATAATATATTAAGATGTTCTTCTCCCTTAGATAGAAATATTTTTAATGAAAATTTTTGGTACTAATAGGCTATCCAAGTCCGGTTTTGTGGACAAATTTAAGCGGACAAATAAATCAATATTATTTAATAAAATATATCGGAAGGGATAACCGACAAGTACCAAATTTTTATATGAAATACCGATTCTTTTAATGCCCATAAACGTCCAGGAGTGCCAACAATAATATCAGGCTGAGATTTAAGTAAACGCTGTTGTTTTTGAATACTCATTCCGCCTACAATTGCGACAATGCGCAGTTCTCTTGGCTCTTTTACAGCGGAAAGTTGTCTAAAAACATCTCTTATCTATAATTTAAAAAAATAATAAAAGACCTTATTAAAAAATAAAAACCTGAATTGCTAGTTCACGAGTTGGTGTAACAATCAAAGCAAAAAGTTTTGTTTGATCTTTAGGCACGTCTTTTTTTAATTCCTTTAGCCATCTATCAAATATTGGAACAGCAAAAGCCAATGTTTTTCCGCTACCCTATTTTTAAAAATTAAAAAATTATTTAAAAAAAGAGAAAACTGTTTCAGCCGCTCCAATGATATCTTTTCTGTGTTGAATTGCCTGAGGAATTACAGCCTTCTGAATTGGAGTTGGCTTAATAAAACTTAAAAATTAGAAATTCTTAATAAAGATTATGATTATAATAAACCCCATGTTGCCCAATCCTTTTAAAATGTATTCAGAATCAATAATTTCAGTCCATTCGCCATTATGTTCCATTGCTTGAAAGATATGTATGATTATCTGAAAGTTTGAAATTATATAAAAATATCTATAGATTAATATATTACTTAAATATAAAAACAATAAAAAATCTATGAGGATTAAAAAGAGATCGAGGAACTAAGAGGTGGACTCAACCGTTCGAATCTGCGACTCAACAGGGCAGTTTATTTCAGTCTTGGCTCAATTCAGTCCCGATTATAACTCGTGAAGGGTGATCACTTTTTCAGGTTCTTGATACCATTGGATTAAGAATTAAAGATCTACAACATTTTAAAAAACAGAATTTTTGACCGATTGATAAAAAGTTATGATGTACTCAGGACTCAAGCATTTTGACTGAACTGTGCGGACTCAACCGGCAGGATCAATAGTCGCGTTCCGGACTCAATTGGTTGTACCCGCTTGGAGATACATTTGAAATTTTTCTTAAACCAAAAAAAACTATGAGAGTTCACATTCTTGCTAAATTTTTGTCCCAAATCGATATTTAATAAAAACCAACATTGCGCAAGACGTAATTCAAAGAATGAGTCATCTTTAACTTCAATAACCTCACATACTGCTACTTAAATTTTGTTCTCTTTTCTTTTTCTTGATTGAACAAAAATTTCAAAACTAGTTTTTCCTGTGTCAGTTTTCATCTAAATTCAGCCTTTCTAACTCAATCTCTTTTCTTTTTTTATTTTTTAGCTTATACTAAATAGAAATATTTAATTTTAAAATCTTCACTAGTTCAAATGTCTACTACTGCTAATAAATCTTTTCTTATATTTTCAATTTTAATACTCAACTTAATAAATCATACAGAGGCATGTACATGCAGAATAGCACCGCCTGGAATAAACTATTGCTTAGCAGATTGGGGTAAATTACAATTTAAAAATTAAACAAAAATTTAATAGTCGCCCGTGTTTTGGTGCTTAAGCGGAATGAGGGTGTTAAAATGCCCGGTAGCATTGATCAACAAACTAAAGAAAATGTGCGATATAAAGTTAAGTACGAACAAATGTTCAAGGTTTAATATTTTTGAAATTATTTTCTATTTTAAAATTAAAGATCAGTAGTGAAATGACAGTAACAGAGCAAAGTCTTGTTGTATTACCAGTCAACATTTATACATCTTTGCATGATTCTGCCTGTGGTATTCAACTAGAAATAGGGCACGACTATTTGCTTTCAGGTATCTGGGTAAAATGAAATAATTTAACCTTACTTATGATAGGTAAATATGTTAATGGTACAATGCAAACAAGTTTATGTGGCCAAATTCTACTCGAAGATCTAAAAGAATCCCGAAAACATGATATTCTGGAATGGACTGAAGTTCCAGATAAATTAAGACAGCAGTTGAATAAACAAGAATTCGATTCAACATGCGAAAAGGAGCTAAAATAGTAGGTATTATTGATTATGTTTATTTATAATTTGAATGCATTGGAAAATTCTTCATATAATTTTTATTTTTAAAATTCATTCTGTAATTAAATAAAAAAATTGAAAAAATGGATTTTTCAACAATAGGCTTTCAGTCTAAAATCATCTACGTCTTCTCGCACAAATGAAACAGCAAAGAAGGGAAAGAAGCACTGAAAGTATGATAGAAAGTGCTAAAGAGATGAGCAATGAGTTCCACCAGTCGATCCTATAGAATTTTCGGAAAGATTTACATTTAAAAATAGAATAATTATCTTAATGTCAACCTTACGCTGCTGTAGGTAATACGATTATTTCTTCCATCTGGCCTCTCTCGATATATCCATCCAGGACCAGGTCCTTCTGCGCTTCCGCAACAATAGTAGCTATAACGAGAGCTGCTTTCTTGCCTTATACAACATGCTACTGGGCAGTAAATTCTAAATAATTTTTTAAATCTTTACTTATATTTAATGAAATTTAAATGTAAAGAAATGAAAATAGCTCTTGCCTTCCTCCATTTGGCAATCCCGTGCATAATACATCCGCTTCTGTCGACTTAAGACACGAAAGCTGAAAAAGCACTAATAAAGGATAGCCCAATATGTCGAAAATAATTTTTTTCATCTGATTATTTAAAAGGTTATTGATTTACTTATCTTGTATAGAAAAATTTATATTTTTCTAAATTAGTATTTAATTAAAATTTGAACAATGAGTCTCTTAAATTAACTCAAAACTGGCAAGTAAATGGAGGAAAGTAAATAAAAGGTGCAATCAATGTAAGGAAATGGCCGAGTGATCGATGTGAACGACTTCAATCGCTAAAAATGCCTCTACTGTGTTAGACGATCGAGACTCGTTCATTATTTCCACATGTCTCTTTGTTCACGGCGTTCTTATTTTAATTCTCATCTTTCTTGTTAAGCAACTGACTTGGATTGGAGTAAGAAAAAAAGGAAAAGGCAATATGACGTAATGAAGTGAAAATCTGTTAAAATAAACTTTTTGAAAGAGTAGAATAAGATTTAATTAATTAATTTAAAAATCCGTTATTGAAACAATAAGTTTATTATGTGACAACGGGAAAAAGATAATGAATGATTGGGTGTTTATAAAGAAATCTTTGTCGTTAAATAGGTATTTTAGCGTACTTCCGCCTTTCTATTTTAACTTAATCTAACAGTAAGATTAGTTTTTTTGATTTTTATTGTATTAGGAACATTCCTCACTCGTATTATTATCCTTAAAATTCTAAAAGACAAATTTAATCTTTCAATAATTTCCTTAAGCTTTTTAATATTTTTCTTTTCTTATTTTCTAATGTCTATAAAATAACCCATTTCCCATTCTATTTAAATTCTGCTCAGTTATGCCATAATCTTTAATAAATTATATTTCTTTATTTTCTTTGTTTTTTTAGAAATTAGAAATTTTAGAAATAAAGCATCTATTCATTGAACATCTTTACGGATTTAAATCTTTCGGTTCATTCTAAGAGTTTCAAAGGTATTAATACATATGCGTCATAATTTCTACTTGGTTTATTGGTGTTTCTAGCACGTAATTTGAGTGCAATATTTGAGCTTCCATCCTCACTTCCTCTCATGCTTCCTTATTCACCTTTTTGGCACTTTATGCCACGAAAACTCTTTTCGTTTTTGCTTTTATTATGGCAGCCCCATTATCAATTCCTTCTCACATTTCGACATAGTTTTTTACAACATAGACTAGCTTTTCTGACGGTTGTGCGAAGGAGGATAAATAAACATTTTATTGATAATAGATTTCTAAGAATTATCATAAAACAGAAGCAAGTTAGCATTCCAATTTTTACTATTTATTTAAAAACAATCCTAGATATTTAATTATTTCAAATTTGGCAAGTAAAGTCTCCTCTTAAATAATTCATGCGAGACAAGCTGGTTTAAAAATCACTAATTCTATTCGGCTTTTTTATATTTACAATTACTTTATACGTGCCATTCTCACGCTTCCAAGTCAATTTTATTTCTTTCATTCCTTAAAGCTTCCCCTTTTTCCACGCTTCCTTTTCCGCGTTTTTTATCGGTAGCGAATTCCTCAGTTCAATTTTTGACGGAATTTTCCTTAAATTTACATCAGTTGGTTTTATTTTGAGGAAATGACAAGTGATAAAAATTAAAGTTGCTGCTTGACCAATGTTCAATCTATTATTAGCTACATGTTCTGTGCTGGCTTTTGCTTTTTAATTAAAATTCAGCTTTTCGGAATTCTACATATTGAAGAACAAAAGTTAATAACCATTTTGGTTTTTCCTCAACCATCCAATTAATTAAAATATATTTCTTACCAGTTTTTTCGATAGTCAATTTTATTTCTTTCATTTATTTTCATATTTCTTTCATTTTTACTCTTGGTAGTACCATATAGTTAAAAGTTCAATATATAATTAATTATATTGAATGAAATTTTCAGATTTTTCGAGTATTTATCTTTTTGTTTTAGTGAGATATATGGCTTGTATACTTTTCTTGTCAACGAGGAATATACAACAATTCCACGTCATTAGTACGTTTTTCCATTGTTAAATTCCAGATAATATTTTCCAGCTTTTTCATTTTCTTTTCTTTTAAGTCACTCATTGGACATGTAAATGAGCCTTCTCCTCCCCCGAGAAAAGTCCAATTAGGGATCTAAGGTCTCTTGTAAATTAGTTGTTTGCTTTCTTGAAGCGTTGTTTTCGTCGTTATTTTCCAATGCGTGTTCCCCTACATTAATCTTTTGCATAATTTCTTCTAGCATTAAAAACAACTCAGGAATTCCTTCCCTTTTCCATGAAAATTTACACACTTAATATTTTTAAAAATTAAATCCTGATTGATTTCATCTAGATCACATTGAATAGCTATCTATGTTAAATAGTTATTTTCCGGATTACTCCATTTTATATTACTTTTTTAATAAAATGTTAGCATTATTTATTCTCTTTGTCCCTTTTTAGCTTTATCTATTCGGCTTTACTCAAATATTCTCTTCCGTTATAATATGTTAATTTGTCGCTTGGGAGTTTAGAATAAAGGGTATATGTAAACCTGAAAGCAGTTTACGAAAAGAAAGATTTTAACAGACTAACAATCGTTAGAAAAAATGCCATTTTACTATAAAAACTAATGGGGTTTTAGAAAAGAAGACCGGAAGGCATCTTTTTGCACCATGAAAAATAATAACATGTGACTTGAAAATTAATGGAAAAAGAAACTAATTGCGCTTCTTCAAATAAATTCGATTTTGATTGATGGCACGGTATTTCCTTAATCTTAAAAAGCTTATGATAGTAGTGATAAACATCTTTTTTCTTTTATTTTCATATTTTCCTTATAATATTTTTTGCCAAAGGTTCACATCCCTTGAGAATTATACATATGTATTTACTATCCCTTTCCTCATCACATCAATCCGATTTTTTCAGATTTTTCTTTTCCATCTTTAACCGCTTAAGTCTTAAAATAACTAAGTTAATTTTTACGATAAATTCAAAATATCCTTTCCTTTAAACTCATCTTTTCAAAGTAAAATTGCCTGTGGCAATTGCTATTCTTTACCTCGACTGGTGTTTCATTCATAAGAGTGCGCAAATAAAGCATATTTTCTTCATCATCTTGGCGTAATGGCTAAAATAAAAATTTTTAATTGTTAGATGTTTTAAATTCTCACCAAAAACATCGTCGATATTTTGCTCATTAAAATTGTTTTTTTATTTTTATTTACTAAAATTTACACATGAATTCATTTCCTTTTAAATCTGTCAGTTTCATTGTAAGTGTAACACCCTTTATTTGCCAATAATTTTTACGGTGTTATTGACAGTTTCATTTAATAATACATATCTTATTCTAGTTTATTTTTAAATTATTACATTAGATTATTTATCATTTACATATAATTTAACTTTTTAAAGGCTTATATATAATGGAAGCATCTACAATGGAATTACTTCCACCTCCCACTATATTATTTAATGTATCATCAGCGCCTTCAGTTATTTGTGAGGATATGAATGCTTATTTATGGAACACTCGTCGGGATTTGACTACACGGCCTTTCGTTATGGCTGGTAATATTTATCGATATTTAAGCTTAAATCAGTAGTTAAAAATTCGGCTATTGATATTTGTTTTTATTAAAATCTGAATTTATTGAGTTAATCTTACAGTATTTGCTTCTTTATATTCATCAATCATTTTACTGGGTATTATCGGAAACTCTTGCGTGATTATGGCTATTGCCAGAATTAAATCACTTCAAACTGTGCCTAATATGGTAATACAAAAATTTCTATTTGGATATTTTCAGTACATTTAAGTTTATTTTCTCGTTGAGTTGTTCAGATATACTTGTTTGCTTTATTTCGGCTACTATAACTCCAATCGCTGCCTTCAAAAAGGATTGGATTTTTGGCCAATTCTTATGCTCTTTTGCACCCTTTGTTGCGGTTAGTTCTTAATTTTAAATTATTTTCAGAATTTCACATTTTGCTTAATTAAGGGAGGGAGTTTGTGTTTCTCTACATTCACTTTGGCGGCTATTTCCGTGGACCGTTTCCTTTTAATACTTTTTCCCACGAGAAAGGCTTTCTCGCATACGCAAGCTTTATTTATAATTCTTGTAAGTCATTAACTTTATCTTTCGATTTAAAACGTCAAAATTAGGTCACGTTTCTGTTGGCTAGTGGGTTTAGTTTACCAATGTTGTTCATGCAAAAGTTAAAACCAGTAACACATTATTGTGGCCGATTTTGTTTCGAGGATTGGGGTGAGATGATTGGAATAAGAAGAATCTATGGAACTTTATTGCTAACCGTCCAATTCATTATTCCGGTAAGCATATTTTTAATTTAGAGCTAAAAGAACATTTGAAGCTCTTGAAATTTTCAACCTACTTTATTTTTACAGTTAGCATTGATCACTTTCTGTTATACAGCAATTTCATTCCGACTTGGAAAAGTTTTAATAATTTCTGTAATTTGAAAATCATTTTCTTTTAGAGCGTGAATCTACGTACTAGAAAGAAATGTGAATGGCAAATGCCTATTAGTGCTCAACGAAGCGCGGCCACAAAGCGAAGACAACGAACTAACCGAATGTGATTCTGTCTATAAATTTCTTGAACATTTTTAGATTTAAGGTTTATTGCAATGGTAATTGCCTTTTCGGTGAGCTGGGTATGGTCGGTTCTATATAATCTGTTACGAGACTATGACGGTCTTCCCAAGTTTGTACATGATCAAGAATTCTTTTTTGGAATATTAACACACTGTATTGCAATGAGCTCCACGGTATTTTCCTTTTATTGAACATTTCAGTTTATTTTCCTAGGTATGGAATCCGATTTTATATGCTTTATTAAATCTACAGGTAAATTAATTTTACAGCTTATAATTCAGTTTTTTAAATTTAATTCAGCTAAGGGCAGCCTTTCTACAACTTGTGCCACAATGTATTAAGCATTCTCTGACTTGCACTTGTAGTCCTAGTAAAGGAAGATTAAGCGGTCGATCAGTTGCCAGATGTGCCTACCTTGAAGAGAGCCGGCTTCTTGGTTCCTCAGTTCTTCGCGGAACAACCGGGCAAGTACAGAGAAAAGAAACGAATTATGAAAATAAGAACTGTTTTAATTGTTTGATTGGCTCCTCTAGATCCGTTGAATCTTCTTCAAACGAAACACAGAAGCAAACGTTTTCTGTTAAATGTGGAGAAAATAAATTAGATGCTAAAATTTTGGTACTAAATTTTTTCTTTCAAAACGAATTAAAATTCCAGTCACATAATCACCATCGGCATCAATTAGAAAGAATAACAGCGGACGGCGGATTTGACGAGCAAACATGGACAGAGCAACTGAGGAAGGATTCTGAAGATGATGCCTTAGATAATTGTAATGATGATTTGAGAGAAAGAGATACAGATGAGAGGATATGACAAATTTTGAATTCAGAAGATTATATTTTATTGTTTTTATTAGATATATTATGTATTAGCTTACTAGTTAATTATCTTTATATTTCATTAGCTTTATAATAGCTTAAATAACATTGAGGGGTACCTTTAAAAATTTTTTCCTTTCTATCCTACTCTGAATTGGCGGCTATGAATCGACCTTTACAGTTAAGCTGCTGTCACTATTGATTTAATTGTCATTTGCCTAAAAATTTTTAGCTTTTGTTTAAAACTTCTTGGTACTGAATGGCAGGTTCTGGCTCCGTTGGATCTCCGTCAGGTGGCAAAGTTACATTCAAAATAACGCTAACAAGCGATCCTAAACTTCCATATAAAGTGTGAGTAAAAGAATATCGTTTCTATGCATTAATTTTTTTTTGTAGAATGAGCGTTCCGGAGAATGCGCCTTTTACAGCTGTCTTGCGATTTGCAGCAGAAGAATTTAAAGTTGATCATAATACTAGTGCTATAATTACGGATGATGGTATTGGCGTAAATCCAGGTTTCTAACAAACTGGAATTTTCAAAAATTAGATTTTAGGACAAAAAGCCTCAGAAATATTTATGAAGTATGGTGCTGAACTGCGACTTATTCCTAGAGACAGAGTTGGAAACGCTGATGATCAGTAACCTATTTAGCAGAATTTTTGAGTTGAAGTTGCTCTATGTCACTTTCGTATTTTTTCTAAACTAAGGAATGCTGGTTTGTGATCCTATTTAAGTTTTGATTTGTGAATAGCTGATAATTTTGTTCACTAATTTATATCTGTAAAATTTTCTACTATGCGTATTTGACTGGTTTTAGTGGATAAGTTGCAGGTTTAGTCATTTACTGAATATTTTTATCTAGAAATAAGTGTGAATTATAGCATTAACATAGTTCTCTTATTTATGCATATGTATCACCAAATATGAAGCTAAAATGTGTTAAGTGAAAATCGGCAACATTAATTTTAATTATCATATAGCAGCTTTTAAGTGTGTTTTTTCTTCCTTCTGTTCATAAAGCGCACTTTTCAGAGCCAATTTCAAAGCCTCTATGTCCTCCGGGTTCGAGTTTACACCAAATGTGCCAATACGCCAGATTTTTCCTGCGGTCGGGCCGAGCCCACCAGCTATCTCATATCCCTGAGCCATTAATTTGGATTGGACTGCCTTCCAATCAACCCCCTCGGGGACACGCACAGTGGTTACACAAGGCAAGCGATAATTCTAAATAGAAAACTTAAATACAAGTTCTTGCTCTGAACAGGCCTCATTCTCGACATAGGGTTCCAGACCCAGCTCCTTCAAAGCGGTATAGAATAGCTTAGCGTTCTTCTGGTGTCTCTCAACCAAGTTTTTTATTCCTTCCTGAGCTACAATCGAAAGACCTTCACGCAGCTGAAAATTAGCCATATTTAAAAAAATTTTCAGAGAAACATACCGCGTAAACTAGTGATATTGGTGCTGTGTGGTGATATCTTCGTGGTTCATCGAAACAGCCCCAATAATTTCCTAATTCTAAAGCATCCAAATAAAATGACGGTACTCGTTTCTAAAATAATAATAAAGCATAAATTTTGGAAATATTTTCACATCTATTAATTTTAGGGCAAGTATTAAAACAACAAACCTTTCTGTTTAGCATTTTCTTCCTTAAATTTTGTAAATATAATCATTACGATTTACTAATTATAAAGCGACAAATTAACCTACAAAGCTTTTTCGCTAAATGAAATAGGTGCCAATCCAGGTGGGCAGTTTAGTACTTTTTGTGTAGCCGAATAAACACAATCCACTTTTAAATCATCAGCGTGGAAAGGAGCACCTAAATAGAAAAAAAATTTTAAGAAAAATTTTTAAACATATAATAACCTCCAAGTGAAGCAACCACATCAACAAGAAATAGGCAATCACTTAAATGTTTTAAAATTTTATATGGCCCTAAAGAATTCAAGTCAATAGCACTTTGTTAACCATTTCCGTTATAATTGATTTGAAAGATATTTAGTTCTAAATAACCGTGTTAAAGTGCTATTCGGACCTGGATTCTTTTAATTACATACTAAGCATTGCAAATATCGCCAAAACGTTCCAACGGGTGAGCAACGCCAGTCGAACTTTCTCCATGGCAAAGGAAGGCAACTTGCGGCCGATAATTGTCAACAGCCTTTAATTACTAATTGAAATTCTCTAATCAGTGCAAAAAACCTCAGAAAAATCCTCCACACTTATCACCTCTCCTTCAGGCACAACCAATTTTCGCACATTAAGACCTAGTCTGTCTGATAAATCCGCAGCTCTTTGGCCCCAAACACCGTTCTGCACAACCTATTTAAAAGGTTTATCGTTTTTGTAAACTGCCGAAAAAATTTAACTTACCAAAATAGTTTCTCCTTCATCCAGTAAATTCATGATGGCACACTCCATGCCAGCATGGCCACTGCCAGGGACAGCAAAAGTGAGGGGATTATTAGTCTGAAGGACATATTGAATGCCGGATTTAACATCATCCATTATTTCCAAAAATTCTGGATGGAGATGACCGAGAAGTGGTTGAGTTAGACCTTCCACTACTAATGGCGGCATATTGCTCGGGCCTTAAGTTATATAGATTGGATACAAGTCGTGTTTGTAAATTAGATACATTAAAATAATGGTAACCTGGTCCAAACAATTTTCTCTCATTGACGTGCAAAGGCCGTAGCAATCGTTGAGGCGGTGGAATCGTCCCAAAGAATGCAGAGGGAGTTGACATAGTATGCTAAAATAATTTTAGTATTATTTCAAACTATTATTTGATAAATGAAAATAATAAAACTAAAAATTAATGGTGCGATAAAGATCGATTTTACAGAAATAAAAACCTTCCTTATATTTTAAGTCATGGGAAAGGAGTACTGTCTGCTAATGTGTGATTCCGCTGGAGTTAGGAAGGAAGATTTAAAAATAGAGAAATATCAGGGACCAACCCGTGTAAATTCAGCCAGCTTTCGTTCGTTCCTTCCTAAATGAACAATATTTTTCACAGGCATCATTCGACTAAGCATATCCGATTATGTTGTTGGCAAACGAAAAAATAAGTAATAATACGAACTACTATACTAAAATTATACCTTATAAAAATTAAAGTTTAATAAATTTTGGAGGGAGTAACAATAAAAATATGACATGGTGATTGGCAAGAGTAAAATTAGAGACAGTATTCTTTTTTTATTTTTTAAAGCATTTTTACCAGTTTTTAGTTTAATCGACTTTTCTGAGAGATGGACTGAACATCAAATAAAACAGGAGAACCCATTGGCTGAAACAACACGTGAAAATAATAAATTTTGGGGAATTAGTAAACGATAGTCATAGATAATGTCAAACGTGGCCAGGTATAGTGTCATTAATATTAGTCAAGGAAATTTATTTGGAACGGTTGACATAAATGAAATTCTTTAAGTGAGTATAGATGGGCAGTGTAAATTAGAGTGCATGATGGAAAACTGATTGTTTTATAAATTTAGTCAAAAAATTTTTAGAGAACAGATTAATTTATTGGTTCTTTATAAAATCTGTACAAAGTAGTATAAAGAATACAGTATAGACTACAGAATATATAGACTACAGTTGTTGGGCTGTTATTGGAATTGACAAATTTTTAATCTACTTAATAAAATTTGTAGGAATGAAAAGTCAATTGTAATTTCAAAGTATGTAGCAATTACAATTTCTTCAGCTAATAATGATATAGTCACTTGTTATATTGAATAGAAAATGCTATCTTCTTGCTTATAAATATTTATTCTTCCATAGTAAAAGCCGGTTTGTGTACACATGACGAATGCTTTTGCTGGGGTTAGATGTACTTTTTTAGTATTATTTTGATTCATTTAGTTGAAAGGACGCACATTATTATACAGAGAAATGAGTGGAATCAGTCTGATGAAATTTTAAATAAGAATAACGTAAACGTGAATAGTTTTGAGTATATGACTGAAGATTTTAAAGTTCACAAATTATAAGTTCATGTATATTTTTGCTTTTACATATCTTGTATTTGTTTTTTTTTCATTTTGTTATTTCATTTGAATGATACGTAAACAAATCTTAGGTTTCCATGCAACAGCAATGGCTAATACTTATACCTTGACACTTTCATAAAATTACATAACACCAACTTTATCTTCCAATTCGTCACATTGAAGGAAGAATGAGGCCATGACAGCTGACTCGTCAACTAATACGACGACAACTGGAAATGTGGAGTGACAAAATGAAGGCTAGAGAGAAGGCAGAGAGAAACAAACAACTAAACGGGGGAAGGAAAGCCATTCAATGTATTCGAAGGAGTCGATAACGGAGGCAGCCATCGACAACGAATAGTGGTAAAAATGAATCCATTTTATCTTATTTTTTTCTAATGTTGCACTACTACGTTTACATTCATATTATCTGTTTTCGCTTTAATTTTATCGCGTTTCAATAAGTGGTCTTCTTAGAACTCTGATTTTGCAATAATCTTTTCATATTGTAAGATCTGATAGTTCGTTTTTAGTACAGCAAAATGTTTAATCATCCAAATCATGGATCAATGACATCACAGTTAGCGCAAATTCAGAGAACGATGGCGTATCGTCTTCAAGGGCCGAACAATTTTTTGGGAAATGTGTGCTTTTTATATTAAACTTTGTGTCAATTTAGTGAAAATTTGATTTAAGATAACCCTGAATATCACCAAGGGAAAGTTAAGGAGACTGTTCTTTAGGGTTAACTTGCATTTTACGATTTCGATTGTACCAAAAATAGAAAAATTTTACGTGAGCGCACAAAACTGACCAGTTAATAGAACTCCATTAAGTTTTACGGAATTAATTTCTAGGTGAATACGCCGCCAGAGATTAATGACAGAGGATTTACGGTGGGTTGGACCCGTGGTTTTGGAACCTCCAATTTAATGGGACGCTCCGAATTTAACAATTATGGCTCTCGTTCATCTTTACCCTATACACAGACAGAAATGAATCAAACGTCTGGTAGCGAATTTATTGGCAATTCTAGCATTCGTATGCCTATTTTTAAATGCCCAGAATGTAGTATTGTCAAAAATACGAGTGAAGACTTTGAGGTTTTTTTCGTTTTTTGTCTCGAATTTTTTATTATTTATATGTAGATTCATGTGAAGGTTGAACATTTGAATTGGTTACCATTCATTTGTCCGGTAAGATATGTAATCCTTAAAAACAATTCTAATTTTCTGTAATAATTTTAAAACAATTTTTTGGTTCTTCGATTTTTTTAATTTTTAGATGTGCAAAGCGGCTCGTGCTTCGGATATTCAAATGCGTGAACACATGCATTCATCTCACAAGAAGAACGATAACATGGTAATATTTTTATTTTTTTAATGATGCGATGCTGAAGTATGTATATTAGCATTTTCAGTACTGGTATCAAGACAATGCACAAGCCAAAAAAATTCTTCAAGAGATGATGGACAAAGCTCTTTTCGCTGCTTCTATTCAGCATAAGCAAAGCAACATTCCTAAACTAGGAAGAATTATTGGAGACTCAAATGGAAATTTACAAAGTGTCGCTCATACTGACAATGAGTCAGCTAAAAGGATCCGACTAGATGATGTCGTCACCTCTAGTATTAGAAGGTAATTGTTTGTTAATATTGTTATCAATTTCCTATTACAGAAATATTGAAGAAAGTCTACAATCCAAAAATCAAAATGTTAACGAAAATACTTCGACAAGTGGTATCAAATTAGCTGGACAAGAACGTAAACCTAGTATAGACGAAGAGACGGACTCTCAGTTGAGCACGATTTTTGGACGAAATGTCAAGTCCGAATTCGACATGACAGTAATGGAAGAGGATTCGCCTTCACAACAATCTTTACAAACGATTAATGAAGACGATGAATTACATGATAATACTCATCAAATGAATGCTCTTCAGAATATGGCTGCAATGTTTTCGGCTAGCGGTGGATCAGTTTGTCATAAAGTGCAGCCAAAGAGTATTTTAGACTCGCGCTCATCAAGGCCCTTTCCATATAAGCGAGTAGTGCGCAATCGACCTGGCCCTATGTATGAAGTTATCAGTTATATATTTATTTTTTATATTTTATAGGACCTCAAAGAAGCGGGTTTTGGGTGTTTGCGCTCGGTTTGTTGCAAATAATTAAAATTTATTTTCTATAACTTAAGCTGTAACAAGCCTATAACTGCTGGGGCAAGACAAATGCACATGTTTTTCCATCTGGGTAAAGATATGCAAGTACTGTTAAAAATTAAATAAAAAATACACTAAATGTTTAGACTTTTCGCTTTCGATGTAAACATTCTGGCTGCGATGTGGAACATTATAGGAAAGATCAAATGGAAAATCATCAATCGAAGGTGTGCATGATTTGTTTCTTTTTCGATTTTAATTACTTCAAAATTGTAAATAGGTTGTCTTTTTAATTTCGATAGGTACATGGACAGGTTGATCCAAATATGATGGATGATAGAAGTCAGGATCTTTATGACCTTGTTCAGGTTTAGTTTCTTGTCTCAGTTAAGTTATCAAGTTATTTAAATTTCAGAAGATGTCTATGGAGTTGCTTGGTACTATGGGAAATACGCCTGGACCAACAGCAGCTAAAGCTCAACTTATGTATGAGCAACAAATGCGTGATGTGGCTGCCAATTTAGGCAGTCGTAAACGACCGCCTATTCAGATGCTTACTCAACATCAACAAATCCATACAAATATGAACGGAATGTTTGATTCGGCAAACCGAAAAATGGAAGACTTGGAGTGCCGTCTATGCCATAAGGTTAAATTTTACTTTATGCATATTTTCTTTGGTTCTTTAAACAATTTCAGACGATTATGAGTAGAATTCGCGGTTTTCATATTCTTTGGCATTTAAATAATGATTTGGGAATTGTTCGCTATGGCTGCAAGCACTGTGATTTTAAACATGACCGCCCTCAATCTGTTGTAGGGCACGGCGCACGAGAACACGCTGATGAATATTGTTGCGAGGATTTGCTTTATGTTTGTGAATTTCTCATTTTATTAATATTTTTCTATTTGCTTAGAATTTTGAGGATGAACTTAAATCCATGTCGAAGGCATGTTTTGGCGTCGAACGTCTTTTCGAAAAGGAAATTCGGCGAAGGACCAGGATGGTTAGTTCGATCGAAATTATTCTTAGAGTGATTCTATATTTCCTTTTATTAGGAACTTTATGGAAATGTGATAGATGATGACCTCAGGAATGAAGATGAACTTGAAGATGATGATTCACGAGGAAGCTGCGATTCAAAGCTCCTTAACCAGACTCCCCTTGCAAAACTAGATGTGCAATTAAAGGCAGAAAGTTCAGATCGTTCATGGTCTTCTTCTAAGGAGCAGATGCGAAAAAAACGAAGTTTTCGTCGTTTTGGTACTAGGTAATCTATAATATATTTTAAGTATGTATAATTCGAAGTAAAACGTGTTAAGGGTTCGTTCGCGAAGGCAAAGAGAAGATATGATCAAACTGCGTGAAGTTAGTATGCGTCTTGGCGGGGCTCAATACTTTAAAAAGAAGTCAAATGAAGCGGTTCTTTGCGAGGTTTTATTATCAAAAGGATTGAGTCACTATTTGTTTTTATTACTTTAGAAGTGCGGGAAGATGATTTCAAATCGTCTTTCTGATCATGCTTATTCTCATTTGGATGGATGTGATCTTTTTCGTTGCCAACAATGCAATTTGGTTTTAATTTGTAAATATGCGTACATTTTATTATTTTAGGGTCATTACTCACGCGAGACGATTGTCCGTCACCTGCGAGATTTTCACAATTCCAGTGACGAGCCTCCTCTCGATAATCGTTTACGATTTGCACAAGAAATCAAGGTTAATTTTCATTGTTTATTTTCATTTGTATTATTACTAGGATGCTATACGGGAATGTTACCCGCATCTCTTTGTTGATGCTCCAATTCCAACAAAAGAGGTTATTTATCTCGAATTGCTGGTTAGCACATGCCTTTTATTCTAGGATATTGAAAAAATGAAGGCAAATCTTAAACTAGAAAAAATGGTCTTAATCTCTGAGGGTGAAGATGATGGAAATGAAGATAAAGCCGAAGAGGACGGCGATGTGGATGAAGAAGATGAGCAGGAGGATGAAGATGAAGAAGATCAAAAAAAGGAAGACGAAGAAGAAGCTCATGTGGAAACAGATAGTGCTAAAGAGGTGACATGCAATTAAACTAAAAAAATTACTATTTACCTAGTTGGATACTCATGAAGAGGAACGAGATGAAGATAATGAGCACAATGCTGAAGAAGAGGAGGAGGAAGAATTGTCTCGAGATGGGGATGAAAGAGAGGGCAGTGAGGAAGTGGAGCAAGAAGATGATATTAAAGAAGAGGATGGTGAAGATGAGATTGAAGTTAGATCTGAACTAGGGGACACGTATGATAATGAAGAAAAACACGAAATATTGACTCAAAGTAATGACGAGGAGAGAGTACAAGAAAGAAATGGTCAACAAAAGCGTTCAAGGCGTGGTCGACCTCCAAAAGATAGTAAGGAAGTAAAAGCCTGTAATAGTTAATAATTTTCTATTTTACATATTCGTAGTTATGGTTTTATATATCCTTTCTCAATTTTGTACTTTTTTTGGTAAACTAATTACATGCAAGCACTTCTTATTTTGTGACTCGTGCAGTTCTATCCGAGTCGCAGCTCGAATTAGAAAAAATTTGGGCCATCGGGAAACAATATGTAGATGAAATTTTGAGTTTTATTTCATAATGTTTAATGTTTTTTCTTGTTTGCTTGCTATATGTATGTAAAGGGAACAAGGAGAATGGTGACTAATTATTTATAAGAGGAAAATAAACTTCTAAGGGGAAAGAAGGATGGCGGTATACTGCCAGTCACTCAATACACAATTTTTCCAGTTTGTTCTATTTCTTTCCGACTATCCCGATTTTACAGCAGTCCATTATGCTCGCTAGCGAAGGACAATGCATTTAACACATTTATGCATGCATCTGCACCCTTTTACGCGTTTATTGAAAACGAAATATATAAAACTTGCGCAACGATAAAAATTACGACAATAAAGAATCTGTATTTTTATTAAAGTCTACATGTGACTTGATAACGAATGATTATCTTAAGTATGTCAATTCGAAGCTTTTTAACTCTCTAATCCATAAATCAACTTAAAATCTGAATTAGTTCTTTATTAATCCATTGGTTTTTAACAGAATTGAAAATTTATTTTTCCATACTAGTAGTATATGTAGTTATATTTTCCTATAGCGCTAACTTTTTTAGTAATGTCAGACAATCTAACGCGTATTTACTCTTTTTATGCCCTTTTGCTATTCCATTTTTTCACACTACTTTTACCAGCCGAGACTATCTGAGGTGCCGTTATATATTGTTGCTAGGAGCAACAGTCACATTCCTCTTAAGCTTTAGTTTATTTCATACACCCTTTATTTCATGCATGACATTTTCGTAAATAAATAGCTGATGCCTTTATGCAAGAAGAAAATTTCTAATAAACGCGCCATGCTCAGCGATTCCAAATTGTTACAAACAATTAGCAGTTTTTCCCTAAAATGCTTGTGCATGACTGCGACACAGTTCAGACTATTTTTTTGCTATAACAAATTTAGGAAAAATTTATCACTCAATCTCTTCGTTATTCTCTAATTTTCAATTTATTATGTGTTAAAAATGCAATTTAATACACATTTAGTAAATCGAGTCATAAGCAATCTTTCTCCAGTTGGTTTTGTTAGTTTGCTGCATTTGAAATTTTCTCTCCTTTTTGTCCCTTTTCCACATGCTTGGAAATTGGCCCATTCAAGGAATAACTACAAACTAGCTAAAGACATTCGCCAAAGCAAACCTTTTCATTCATCCCTATATCTTTTCCTTTTCAACATATTCTCGCCATTAATGTACAATCGACAACAGCAAAAGCAGTCCACAAAGGAGACAACAAACAACAAAAACGTAGATCTAACTATAAGATCACTAAGAGCATAAAAGTTGGAAAGGTAAAAGGAAATCGAGGAATAAACAATTCAATATTCAAAATGGGCCCAAGCAATGGACAAAATAAAAATAGTTCTTCGTCACAGCCATTTACGGATAGTGGTGAATTGCAAAAATCTATTACTTTCCACGATTTTTGCGAACTTACTCAACGACAACTTGCAGAAATTACTCTCAACAGATCTCAATGCCAACGTGAAAATTTTGACCTAATTTGGCAAAACAGTCCTACGAGCCTAGTCATGCAAGAAAATGAAGTTGAACAAGGGAACTATGCTATAAGAAGAACAATGAGCAATCGTTTGGTCGGTGAAAATGACAATCCCAACTCTGTTGACAATAACAAAGCAGCACTTGCATTACAATCTTGCACCATTTTGGAAGAGGAGAATAAACGGAAAAAATTAAGCACCCTTCGTAGACGGCCACTCAATTCCACGTTTTCTGCATGGCTTCAACTTTTTCTAGCCAAACGACGACAACGACACAATCGTTATTTTGCTTCTATTAATCATTCTCAACAAGAATCTCTGCATCAAAATTGTGTCAATTCCATTTCTGGACAGAATTGTGGGCCACTGCGCTCTTCAGTTTCGCTCTGTTTGTTTTTATTTTCTATTCTAGACAGGTCCAGATTTCCGAACGGGGAATTTCCGAAGTTTTTCCTTTTAATTATGTGCTAAAGGTTAAGATCATCTCTCAATCGGTATTATTTTTCGGTTATCTGCGCACTTCTGAATTAGTCAGAAAAATGTTTAGGAAAAATTTCAGAATAGGACGAACTCTCGAGAGATAGTTTCCAATTTTCCTTACATCTTCAATTTTCTACTCCCGCACATAAATACTAGATATTTAAATTTGAATTTATTATTAATAGCGGTGGTGCACGAAGGTACAACCCTTGGTTCTGATGGTGAGAGCGTCGTAGAAGTTTCTCCCTGTACTAGTGATCAGTTCGCATCCAACGGCATCAGTTGTACAGATTCATTGTCAGCCTTTGAGAAAACTGAATATGTACCGAAGGTTAAGATGCGGCATAAATTGAACAGACGATGGACTGAGGTCTACATCTTTTGTCTAAATATAATAAATTCTTATTTCAGCAAGATATTCAAAAGCGGTTATCACTTCCTCCAGATATAAAATTACCACTTGAAGTAATAGACAAGTTAAATAGAACGCCAGCACTGCAGAACCCATTGACACGTAAGAACAAACGTGCTTCTCTCAGCGAAATAGGCTTCGGAAAGTTAGAAACATACAAGAAAATATTTGACTTGGGCGAAGGAACATATGCAACAGTATATCTAGGAAAAAGTCTTTTGACTGGTAAAAATGTGGCACTAAAAGAGATTCGGCTTGAGCATGAAGAAGGAGCGCCATGCACTGCGTAAAATTATAAAACAATTTAGTTTAATTTTTGAATGTTTATAGGATCCGCGAGGTCAGTTTGCTCAGGAATTTGAAACATGCAAATGTAGGTGAAAAATATGACGGAAAATTTTTTGTATTATTTAGATCGTAACATTACATGACATAGGTCTGTTTGAATTATTTTTTATTAAACTTGTGCATATTTTCTATAGTTTATACTGATCGTATATTGACATTGGTATTTGAATTTGTAGAGCGTGATCTGCGAGAGTATATGGAAGAGTTGGAGAGCAAGGTTATTTAATTTTTATAATTCATTTACAACCATCTAGATAAGTATATACAATGTAAAGCTGTTTTTGGTACAATTACTTCGTGGTCTCACGTATTGTCATAGCCGACGCATTCTACACAGAGATCTAAAACCTCAAAATCTTTTAATCAACAGGATCGGAGAATTAAAATTAGCTGATTTCGGATTGGCTCGAGCTCAGTCTGTACCCAGTAAGACTTATTCAAATGAAGTGGTTACACTATGGTACAGGCCACCCGACGTTCTTCTTGGTATCTGTTGTATATAATTATCACATTTTTAAGCATTTATTGTAGGTTCGACTGATTACTCTACACATATTGACATGTGGGGTGTCGGGTGCATTCTTTATGAGATGCTACTTCATAAGCCAATGTTTCCTGGGAGCACTACGGATGAACAACTGGGACTAATATTTCAAAGGCTTGGTACGCCATCAATCGATACTCACCCTGAATTACACGCACTTCCAAACTTTTCTACGATAATGAAAGCCCAACGATTAAGAAACACACATCAGCCAAAAGCTCTTCTACAACCACCTCGTATTAACCAAGAACGAGCAGATCTTCTATCCAAACTACTGAAGGTATTTTTGAAATGATAAACGTTTAAGCGTAGCAATTATAGTTTTATAAATTTTTAGTATGATGGAAAGCTTCGCATATCGGCAAAAGATGCAATGAGACACCAATTTTTGGAATGTTTTCCACCACAAATATCCGAATTGTCAGATAATGTAAGAAAATCGATGAATTTGTATAGAATACTAATTAAGAATTTCATTCTTATAGGAGTCAGTCCTAAACTTGCCAGGAGTGTTGTTTATTCAAGACCGCAGAAGTGACAGTGGATGTACTGTAACACACAAATAAGAAAAGGAATTTAAAGAACGGGTAATCAAAGGAATAATAATAGATTCGCGTTTTAAAATAAATACAATGCAATAAATATATGTATGTATGTACATGAAAATTACTTGCCTCTTAAAAAATAGTATTTAAAATTTCATTCATCTTTATGTTTCATTTTTCTTGAATTTTGTTTTTAAAATTTTTAATTTTAACTTGAGGAATCATTTAAAAATGTTTATGATTTTTTTGCTCCTAATCTTCTAAACTTTCTAATTTTTTCAACTACCATTTTAAAACCTTTTGAAAAATGTCTTTCAGGCTTTCATACCTCCCAGTTATATCCAAAGGCACGGGTTCTTATTCAATAGGTGTAGACAGTAGGGCACTAGGCATAGGCTTCCTTAGACGTTGACCTAGACTTTGACCTTTGAATTCCCCCCCCTTCCTGACCCAAATGTCCAATGATCAATTGTCCCAATGATCAATTGTAAAGTGATCAATTGTCCCAGTGACCAAATGTCCAATGATCAATCGTCCAAATGATCAATTGTCACAATGATCAATTGTCCAGAGATCAATTGTCCCAGTGACCAAATGTCCCAGTGACCAAATGTCCCAGTGACCAAATGTCCAGTGATCACTTGTCCCTGACTGTCCCGCATTCCGCGCTGAAAATCTGGCACCAAAAATGACCGACCCCCCTTTTTTAAAAACCCTCTCCACAGGTTCAGGCTTTCATACCTCCCAGTTATATCCAAAGGCACGGGTTCTTATTCAATAGGTGTAGACAGTAGGGCACTAGGCATAGGCTTCCTTAGACGTTGACCTAGACTTTGACCTTTGAATTCCCCCCCCTTCCTGACCCAAATGTCCAATGATCAATTGTCCCAATGATCAATTGTAAAGTGATCAATTGTCCCAGTGACCAAATGTCCAATGATCAATCGTCCAAATGATCAATTGTCACAATGATCAATTGTCCAGAGATCAATTGTCCCAGTGACCAAATGTCCCAGTGACCAAATGTCCCAGTGACCAAATGTCCAGTGATCACTTGTCCCTGACTGTCCCGCATTCCGCGCTGAAAATCTGGCACCAAAAATGACCGACCCCCCTTTTTTAAAAACCCTCTCCACAGGTTCAGGCTTTCATACCTCCCAGTTATATCCAAAGGCACGGGTTCTTATTCAATAGGTGTAGACAGTAGGGCACTAGGCATAGGCTTCCTTAGACGTTGACCTAGACTTTGACCTTTGAATTCCCCCCCCTTCCTGACCCAAATGTCCAATGATCAATTGTCCCAATGATCAATTGTAAAGTGATCAATTGTCCCAGTGACCAAATGTCCAATGATCAATCGTCCAAATGATCAATTGTCACAATGATCAATTGTCCAGAGATCAATTGTCCCAGTGACCAAATGTCCCAGTGACCAAATGTCCCAGTGACCAAATGTCCAGTGATCACTTGTCCCTGACTGTCCCGCATTCCGCGCTGAAAATCTGGCACCAAAAATGACCGACCCCCCTTTTTTAAAAACCCTCTCCACAGGTTCAGGCTTTCATACCTCCCAGTTATATCCAAAGGCACGGGTTCTTATTCAATAGGTGTAGACAGTAGGGCACTAGGCATAGGCTTCCTTAGACGTTGACCTAGACTTTGACCTTTGAATTCCCCCCCCTTCCTGACCCAAATGTCCAATGATCAATTGTCCCAATGATCAATTGTAAAGTGATCAATTGTCCCAGTGACCAAATGTCCAATGATCAATCGTCCAAATGATCAATTGTCACAATGATCAATTGTCCAGAGATCAATTGTCCCAGTGACCAAATGTCCCAGTGACCAAATGTCCCAGTGACCAAATGTCCAGTGATCACTTGTCCCTGACTGTCCCGCATTCCGCGCTGAAAATCTGGCACCAAAAATGACCGACCCCCCTTTTTTAAAAACCCTCTCCACAGGTTCAGGCTTTCATACCTCCCAGTTATATCCAAAGGCACGGGTTCTTATTCAATAGGTGTAGACAGTAGGGCACTAGGCATAGGCTTCCTTAGACGTTGACCTAGACTTTGACCTTTGAATTCCCCCCCCTTCCTGACCCAAATGTCCAATGATCAATTGTCCCAATGATCAATTGTAAAGTGATCAATTGTCCCAGTGACCAAATGTCCAATGATCAATCGTCCAAATGATCAATTGTCACAATGATCAATTGTCCAGAGATCAATTGTCCCAGTGACCAAATGTCCCAGTGACCAAATGTCCCAGTGACCAAATGTCCAGTGATCACTTGTCCCTGACTGTCCCGCATTCCGCGCTGAAAATCTGGCACCAAAAATGACCGACCCCCCTTTTTTAAAAACCCTCTCCACAGGTTCAGGCTTTCATACCTCCCAGTTATATCCAAAGGCACGGGTTCTTATTCAATAGGTGTAGACAGTAGGGCACTAGGCATAGGCTTCCTTAGACGTTGACCTAGACTTTGACCTTTGAATTCCCCCCCCTTCCTGACCCAAATGTCCAATGATCAATTGTCCCAATGATCAATTGTAAAGTGATCAATTGTCCCAGTGACCAAATGTCCAATGATCAATCGTCCAAATGATCAATTGTCACAATGATCAATTGTCCAGAGATCAATTGTCCCAGTGACCAAATGTCCCAGTGACCAAATGTCCAGTGATCACTTGTCCCTGACTGTCCCGCATTCCGCGCTGAAAATCTGGCACCAAAAATGACCGACCCCCCTTTTTTAAAAACCCTCTCCACAGGTTCAGGCTTTCATACCTCCCAGTTATATCCAAAGGCACGGGTTCTTATTCAATAGGTGTAGACAGTAGGGCACTAGGCATAGGCTTCCTTAGACGTTGACCTAGACTTTGACCTTTGAATTCCCCCCCCTTCCTGACCCAAATGTCCAATGATCAATTGTCCCAATGATCAATTGTAAAGTGATCAATTGTCCCAGTGACCAAATGTCCAATGATCAATCGTCCAAATGATCAATTGTCACAATGATCAATTGTCCAGAGATCAATTGTCCCAGTGACCAAATGTCCCAGTGACCAAATGTCCCAGTGACCAAATGTCCAGTGATCACTTGTCCCTGACTGTCCCGCATTCCGCGCTGAAAATCTGGCACCAAAAATGACCGACCCCCCTTTTTTAAAAACCCTCTCCACAGGTTCAGGCTTTCATACCTCCCAGTTATATCCAAAGGCACGGGTTCTTATTCAATAGGTGTAGACAGTAGGGCACTAGGCATAGGCTTCCTTAGACGTTGACCTAGACTTTGACCTTTGAATTCCCCCCCCTTCCTGACCCAAATGTCCAATGATCAATTGTCCCAATGATCAATTGTAAAGTGATCAATTGTCCCAGTGACCAAATGTCCAATGATCAATCGTCCAAATGATCAATTGTCACAATGATCAATTGTCCAGAGATCAATTGTCCCAGTGACCAAATGTCCCAGTGACCAAATGTCCCAGTGACCAAATGTCCAGTGATCACTTGTCCCTGACTGTCCCGCATTCCGCGCTGAAAATCTGGCACCAAAAATGACCGACCCCCCTTTTTTAAAAACCCTCTCCACAGGTTCAGGCTTTCATACCTCCCAGTTATATCCAAAGGCACGGGTTCTTATTCAATAGGTGTAGACAGTAGGGCACTAGGCATAGGCTTCCTTAGACGTTGACCTAGACTTTGACCTTTGAATTCCCCCCCCTTCCTGACCCAAATGTCCAATGATCAATTGTCCCAATGATCAATTGTAAAGTGATCAATTGTCCCAGTGACCAAATGTCCAATGATCAATCGTCCAAATGATCAATTGTCACAATGATCAATTGTCCAGAGATCAATTGTCCCAGTGACCAAATGTCCCAGTGACCAAATGTCCCAGTGACCAAATGTCCAGTGATCACTTGTCCCTGACTGTCCCGCATTCCGCGCTGAAAATCTGGCACCAAAAATGACCGACCCCCCTTTTTTAAAAACCCTCTCCACAGGTTCAGGCTTTCATACCTCCCAGTTATATCCAAAGGCACGGGTTCTTATTCAATAGGTGTAGACAGTAGGGCACTAGGCATAGGCTTCCTTAGACGTTGACCTAGACTTTGACCTTTGAATTCCCCCCCCTTCCTGACCCAAATGTCCAATGATCAATTGTCCCAATGATCAATTGTAAAGTGATCAATTGTCCCAGTGACCAAATGTCCAATGATCAATCGTCCAAATGATCAATTGTCACAATGATCAATTGTCCAGAGATCAATTGTCCCAGTGACCAAATGTCCCAGTGACCAAATGTCCCAGTGACCAAATGTCCAGTGATCACTTGTCCCTGACTGTCCCGCATTCCGCGCTGAAAATCTGGCACCAAAAATGACCGACCCCCCTTTTTTAAAAACCCTCTCCACAGGTTCAGGCTTTCATACCTCCCAGTTATATCCAAAGGCACGGGTTCTTATTCAATAGGTGTAGACAGTAGGGCACTAGGCATAGGCTTCCTTAGACGTTGACCTAGACTTTGACCTTTGAATTCCCCCCCCTTCCTGACCCAAATGTCCAATGATCAATTGTCCCAATGATCAATTGTAAAGTGATCAATTGTCCCAGTGACCAAATGTCCAATGATCAATCGTCCAAATGATCAATTGTCACAATGATCAATTGTCCAGAGATCAATTGTCCCAGTGACCAAATGTCCCAGTGACCAAATGTCCCAGTGACCAAATGTCCAGTGATCACTTGTCCCTGACTGTCCCGCATTCCGCGCTGAAAATCTGGCACCAAAAATGACCGACCCCCCTTTTTTAAAAACCCTCTCCACAGGTTCAGGCTTTCATACCTCCCAGTTATATCCAAAGGCACGGGTTCTTATTCAATAGGTGTAGACAGTAGGGCACTAGGCATAGGCTTCCTTAGACGTTGACCTAGACTTTGACCTTTGAATTCCCCCCCCTTCCTGACCCAAATGTCCAATGATCAATTGTCCCAATGATCAATTGTAAAGT